CAAGCAGCAAGACTCCTATGAGAGAAGTTTGAAGTACTGTTTACATGTGAGCAATGTAAATTTAGACCTGCATTAATTTTGAAACTAACACAATACCTCACTATAATAACTGCATAAGGAACTTGGATGCCAGTTTTTGCAGCACTGAACCACAGCTACATTTAACTAAAAAAGGCATGTTCCTTGCCAGATACCAAGTGAATTTATTTTCTTAATTTAAAGTATTCTGCACAGGGAGCAAACTACACCAGCATCACAAAAACCCCTAGAGAACTAATTTACCATAAATTTACACATCAACTTATTTTTCATAGGCCACTCTATGTCCACAAAGTCCTAGCTCTCATTACCAGCCCAAGGAATGAAAATGGCAGATTTTCAGGCTAAATATGGATTAATCTGCCCACATTTATGGACTAAAGCCCAGACAGGACAATGCTACCATGAGACAGAATGAATCTTACAGAGGCTGAAGAAAAGTCTGTAGGACTTTTCCTACAGAGAGGATAAGGAGACAGATTTGGTCATTTGTCCATTGAATGCAAAATTGTCTATCCTTTCATACTGGTATCTAGTGTGTGCAATTCTGATTTAAGTGCACAGGCACTATTCTATGAGTGTTCATTGACTGATAAGGACTAAATCTATTGCTCAAAGGGCCCTCCAAGTTGCTTGGCATGTGGCTTGGAATCTACAAGGTTAATAAGTAAACAACATTTCTGTTGACATTTTTAACAACAAAAGCAACACCAGTCCAGGAAACTCAAGCCAATCCCCCCCAACCCCCCCATATAAACAGATGCAGGAATGATCAACACTTTTCCTGCTCCAGAGGCACATAAAACAAGCAGATTTTCAAACCCAGAGTGGGCCAGACAGGATGACACTGTGAGAATGATTGAGCCCTGTAGTTCCCACCACTCCAACGGGAAAGGTGAGGAGAGACCTTGGGAAGATGCAGATGCTTCAGAGGGAATATTAAGCACAGGAGACCAAATACATCTGAGGATAGTTTGCTTCCACTGAGAAACCATCCTTCTTTAGACAATACTGTATATTTCTACTACAAAAGACCAAGAGGAGCCACCTGGGTGGCAGATAAAGGAGCTTAAAATGTGCATAATTTTCCTCTAATGGGCAAGAACCCTGTCACATTTGGACCTCTCTTTTCATGGAGAAAACCATAACCTTAAACAGTGCAGATTGTGAGCTACATAAAATTATTTCTGACTGATTATATTTTCAGAAAATTTTAAAATATACAGCTGCATATAGAATATTAAACTGGACATTTTGGATATACACAGCGTCTTTCATGTTTTAGATATACATAATGGTTAAATATTTAAAATATGGGACCTGTGCAACAATTTCAAATTGCTTGAAAAACTTGTGTTAAGAAGTGCAAAATTAGTTTTGCATTAGCCTTTAAGGTTTTAGTATAGAAAATAATAGAAAATAGAAATAATAGTAGAAAATAATAAAACAGTAATGAGAAGGTACCTTCCTAATTGATCACTTTTATATGACTTCCTGGAGGACTAACATCAATTATGCTTCTATGTCAAAACAATGCTGGCACACTGCCAGCGAAGATTCAGATCACAGCCACTGATTTAAATTATTCCTTTTTGGAAATCAGTGGATTGTACAGTCAACTTTTGACAGTTAAACACAAATTTTATATGAAGTATAATGAAGCCAGGTTATCACTGTTATACATATGAGAGAAAGGAAAACACATATTTTAATCCACTTTTGAGTTGGCAGTCAGCCACCTCTAAGTATAGCATTGACTGGCTGCAATCAATAGAATCTGTTCCCAAGAAACACAAGATTTCTAATTATCACAGGATGAAACAACCAGGTATGTACATGTTTACAGACCTTTATTTAGATTGCAGTCTCACATCTGTAATCAGTTTCATCAAGTAGTCATTCAGAAATATGATGTAGCTGATAAAAATTGACATGGCTTTCAGCGTTTTGTGACACAAATAAAAGTTCCTTTTCCTCAGCTACGCTATAATACTTTTCCACCTAGTAGATTGAGTACTTCTTGCTGTGTCACACTTCGTTGCACATGAAAAGCCCTGTCAAAACAGGATATCCCAGACAATCCTTTATCATATGAACATGAAAACATGGTCCATATACCCAAGTAATGAGAATGGCTTTAGATGCCAGCATTGGCTTAGTCTTGCCCCATTAAGCCTGACATATAAACAAGAGTCCTTTGGGACACTATTTATTATGGATTTATTAGAAACCTTGTCAATAACTTACTTGTGCTTTTGATAATTCTGTATTTGGTTGCTAGGAGACTTGTGTTCCTGACGAGATAAAATGAACAGGAAATCCTCTTTGGCTTTGTGACTTTTTACACTAGTAAATAAAAATGCAAACAACTGATACAAAATACTGGCTACTGTTAACAGAAGTGAGAAAAAAAGACAAGCATTGCACATTTTAAATAAAGGAACATATAGCCCTTTTTTGCCCTCTCCAACTAAAAGATGATAAAAGATCACCTTTATAAAGTAGAATGACCGGATTTTGTGGAACGTGGCTGTTTTGGCTCCAAGGTATTTGTAGTGCTGTAGTATCAGAGCCAGGATACAGCTGCCTTCTGACTAAGACATCGTCCACTGAATAAGTGCTATCCAATCCCTCAACGTCACCAGACATCTGTTTCCTGTTTTCATTCTTTCTTTCACTGTTATCATTTTATCCGAGTTACCCTTTCACCTGAAAACCATTTAGAAACCTACAGAAACCAGTGTGTGCACGCATGTGTGTATCAAAGAAGTTGATTCAGAAAAAAACTTGCTGAGAGCAATTTGTTCATTTTAATACAAAGAGCAGAAATGGAAACAAACTTGCCTTCCCCCGTCTTCTCCTCCCCAAAATACACAATGATACATAAACACTTTTGTCTTCTGGTCTTCACTAATATGAGTAACTTCCTTCTTCACTTCCAGTTAAGTAGCTTTCCTGTTGAGTACCACCACCTCCACAAAATACAATTGTGAATTGATTCATAAAAACAGAAACATTATGGCACAAATAAGGGAAGGCAATAAATACTCTTCCCCCTCTCCAGCTCCTTCCCAAATGGAGGCAGTAGTAATATTGTTATTGTAAAGTTATTGTAATAACAAAAACTTAAAAAAAAAAAGAATAATAAAAAAGTATTGCTTGTCATTTAAGGTTCCAAACCAACAATCATCAGGATGCAGAACAGGATACATCTAAAGTGAGAAAGTTATTTACTTCACATTCAAGTTAACACCAACTGTACTTTTTTTGGCACACAGTATTATTCCTAACGTGCCAAAAAAGTGTTCGACACCTTATAAAATATGAATGTTAATGCCACTAAAACAAAATTCCTGCTATTCATAGTCCAATTTTATATTGCTGTTGTTTTGCTATGTTTCACCTATGGTTAAACCCCAGGTCAGGGGAATGACCATTATTGATAGCATTTAACACACACTAAAAAGGAACAATAGAAGTTGAAGAGTAAATTGTCAAAATTTAGTTACTTTTTATTCTTAATCTCTTGATTTCAGATTATTTAATCAGAATGAGAAGACTTCTTTTATTTTGTTCTGTGATTACAGAGGGTCACATTAATTGACAAGGCAGGTTGTTGAGTGAAGGAAAAATCTAGGCTGGTTGACAAACACCAACAAAAATTCATCCGCTTCATTTTATTTTCTGAAAGAAAAAGAAGATCTTTTTCTTAAATCCTCCCCCATTGAGGTATACCAGCAAAATACAGATGTTACACAGGAGAAAGAGGTGATTCTAGCACACAGAGGACTTTTCCTACAAGATGGGATAGTTTGGCAGCTACAGGAAACTCTAAGTAGCATTTCCAAAGGCATATCAAAATTGGAAAGCAAAATGACATCTCATGTTCTGGTCTCCTGAACTGTTTCCTACATTCTTATAATCAAATTATTTTAAAGCCAAATTCAGCTTCCATTAAACCACATAATTATGAAGCAGCTCATTAACTTCCAAGGGGCCAGAGCACATTCTGATACATCATCTTGGTCTCCCCTCTCATCTTTCTTTACTGTCTGGCTCACTGTCTCAAATGCCCAGGCCACACAATGCCCAGTGCTTCCACACAAAACCTACAATACTCTTGCATAGTAATAATGCAGTATTCTGCAGAGACTGATAAAACAAACCTTTGCTGAAAAATAATTTTCAAGACTTAATCAAGTTGGTGTGATTAAAATGCTGTCTCCCATAAACACAATTTGCTCATAACTTTTCACAGCATTTAAATTAATTTGTCCACTGTCACACATGCAATCTGAAATTTTCAGCTTGATCACACATGTGATCAAGCTGAAAATTGAATTCTGACTGTGTACTTCGTCCATCACATCCCCATCCTTCATAATCTGCTGTTACTGTCATCCATTGACTCTGGGTTCTGCTATACATTTTTATTAATAAGATTACATTTGTGTCAGGACAAAATTTTAAATTCTGCCTAAGAAAGGCCATTGAATTAAGACAGCTATCTTCCCCCCAGTCCCAAATTTAGATAGAAAGTTATGTTGAACTGCACACTCTGTCTCAATTGCATATGAAGATATCAAAGAAAAATCAAGATCTCTCCTCAAGCTTTAGTGCTATTGATAGCAATGGCAAAATCCAAAATATAGCTATGGAATGGAAGAGGTTAATCTTTAGTACTTTTTTATTTCTGGTTCTTTTTACTATTCCCCAACCAAAAATACCTCTTAGAGCTATTCAAGATACATTTTCTAGAACTTTTACCTAAAAATTTTATGCAATACTACTGTAAAACTAATTTTGCTTTTGTAGAGTCATGTTTCCGATTTTAAACTGAGAGGGGGAAATAGAAACTAATTATTAGGTCAAATGACTCTTTGGAATTATCCTCTGAAACAAATGCAACACCGAAACCTTTTGTCTGAAAAAAAAAAAAAACCAAAAAACTGGCAAACCACTGGAAGAGAAAGTGCCCAGACCCACACTTTATGTCAGACTCCATATTGTTTTCAAATGTTAAGACTTCTGATACACTCTATTATGACAATAAAAAAGTTGAGAGCTACACCAGAAGATTACATGAAGAAAAAAATGTTTTTTCTAGTATAATAGGAGTCTTAAAACAAACAAACACACACTACTTCTACCCATTATTTCATACCCAGATGTTTCCTGTACACCTGCAATTGTGTCCAGTCCTGAATTCATGAGCTGTAGTACTTCAACAGATTCTCATCAGTTGGTTTCAGAATTTTCTTGTCTGCCAGGTTTACGATCCATCCTGGAGCAAGACCAAAAAATATCTGTCTAGGATCCTTGCGTGCACTTAGCATCTTAAAGAGTTCATCCTTGGTTATGTCTGGTAAGACATAGCCATATTTCTTGGCAAGTTCCAGCCTGGCTTCTGCAACCTTGGATGGATCTGCCAGGTAGCCCCGATTCCTGGGATCTGTGTAGTAACGGACGAGGTCTTCAGGCGGGAGCATTCGCTTCGGGATTGGTTTGCCACGCAGGAAAAATACCACTGGCTTGATTAAAATTTCTGTGGGCCAACATGAGAGGAGATTAGTGATTGCACTTCATAACACAGATTTAAAGACATTAAATGACATCTTCTTATTCTGTACTAAATTAATGACTACACTCACATCAAAAAGGACCAAGCAAAAAACTGAATCTCAAGAGTATTCTTGTTCAGAATGAGATCGTGGTTTGCAAGTTTCACTTACACACAAAAAACTCTGCTTTAACTGATATTTATAATGCCAGTCTGAAGGAGTTGCTACTTTTAACACATTTACATTTCCTAAGTACTACTTGGGAAAGATAACCATAACTGAACTTATTTAAATTATTATTTCCCAGTCTGAAGCAATGCATTTGCATGGTTATTTACACAGTGTACCAACTAATGTCAAATTTAGTGCTTCTATGAGTATTTTAAATAAAGTATCAATGTCACATGCACCTATTTAAGTCTTTTGTGGGATTATCTTCTCTTCCTCAAATTTTACTGATTTTGGCAAATTATATTCCAGAACCTTTTAACCTTATTATTTTTATTCTGTGGAACCAAAAAAATCCCAGAACTTATATCACCCCAGGGTAACATATTTTGCACACTTAAAATGTCTATTCCTCTTCTCAGCCTCATTCACACATAAAAGCTGCGTTATTGTCAATAAAAACTGCATGAATGAATGTTAGGCAGGATGCAGCCTCAAGCAAAGCAAAGCCTCATTCTTCAGTGAAAGTGTTCTGAAAACAATAGCCATTTTAACTGGAATGATTCTGAGCTTCTGTAACTTACTTCCTCACTTTAAGTGGAAAAGTATTTTAAATTAAAAATATAAACATCCACCGTGTTTTTTTAATCTATTTTTTCCTGAGTTTTCTTAGTGCTATTAAACATGGGAAACTGAAGACAAAAATCCAGCAAAAGAGTATTTTTAGTTCCTCTATTTACAAAGCTATTCAGATTTCCCCAACTGGTTGATTGGTATACAATTACTAACACTGGAAGGGCTAAACAGGTGAATGGTTAAAAAGGGCAAAATTGAGGATGCATTATCCTTCCTCATTGGAGGCTAGAACTAGATGATCTTTAAGGTCCCTCCCAACCCAAAGTATTCTATGATTCTATAAATATACATGTAACTGGTTTTGCTGCTTAGAAGTTGATGATTTTCTACTAAGAACTGTGTTTGAAAGTTTGATTTGGATCATTTAATCTTTGCACATCCAAAAATAAAAAAAAAGGCAGAAATTAAAAGAAGTTCTTACCCAAGCTCCTTGGGTCATAGAACGATGTTGTTACTATGCCTCCGTTTTTTTCTATGGCCGCAATTGCTAATTCAGATGCTCTCTGCACTTCAATATTTACCTTTGCTGCAAAAATATCAGCACCCTGTAAATTTCAACAGATATTACAGTAACATTAAAATGAGTATTTTAAGACACACATTTATTCTTCTCTGAAAACTCATAAGGAACATTAAATCCTGCAAAAATATTATGAATTGTCTGTTCCATGCACAAAGTTAAGTAACCAAGTTGCTGTCAGTCACTTGGGCTGAATAAAAAAACCTTTCCATTTCCAAAACAGTCATACATTTTTTTCAGTACATTTCAGTTTTCTGTTGTAAAATACTTCTTCAGCCTTTTGTTACTGCAGAAATCAGAGTTACTCCTTAACTCTGATTTCTGCAGTCCCCTGGGTATGAAGAAATCCTCCAGAGTTATTTCTTTTTTGCTGACACACAGTGCCCTCTAGTGGATTTATGATCCACAAAAGTCCCACAGCAAACTAACGTGGAGAATCAAAGATGCTTCCAAACCATGGGAATGGCAACCTGAAAGGCTGAAGTACCAAGTGTGCTGTCTGCATACCTCCTCCACCAGCTGGACACCGTAATCCCTCTTGAGAGGCTGCACTGTCACACCCCTGGCGTTGGCGAGCTGAGTTAGGTCAATCGGCTGCGTGGGGTCAACTCTGCCCAAGTCAATCAGGTACTGCAGCCTCTGAAGACTCAGGGGTTGGTACTGACGTCTGAGGCTGGGGACAGAAAGACAAAAAAAAAAAAACAACCCAAACAAAACAATGAGAAATTTACCAAACTGAAGTTTTTATAGCAACTGGTCAACTGAGATATTGTGGTTTTTATCTACTCCTAAACCAAAAAACTACTAAGACATTACAGTGTCAACACTTCTTGGCAAACCAACAAGACTGTAAATAATGACCACTTTCAAAGTGAATCCACCTTGGGTGCTTTGCTGATAGACAGTCAAAAAACCAAACATACAAACACATATCAAAGACTACCAGCAAAATTCTGTACATGCAGAGCTTACATACAAGATTTTCTGATCCATTACCACTGTACCTAACATCTCAAAAAGTATTGAAAGGAATCTCCCTCAAAACACCATCAAGGAAGAGAAATATTGAGGAAATATGCACTAACCCATATTCCCCAAAGGGAGCTGGATTCTCTTGCCAACAGCCATTGCCTTCAGCAGAACCTACTTTTGTTTTTTCTCAAATTCTAACTTCACTGTACAAACCAATTCCTAGCACAGTTTTCCAAAGCCAGAGTGTATTCCTGTCTATGCACACCACTTGTGCTGATACCCAAAACTTCCTCCTACAATCCATTTGATGGCTGCTATTGGAAGGCTCTGGGTGGCAGCTCACAAACTGGGAAGCAGCTGATCTGTTACTGACAAGCCAGTACAAAGGACAAGGAACAAGAATTTGTGCTGTCACACAGCCCCTCACAGAGAAGGGCTCAAGAAGTGGAGGCAGAAGGAAGAGTGAGGTGAAGATAAACATTGTTCAGCGTGCTCCCTCCACCCCAACAGTATCACTCCAGTGCACTTACAGTGCTCACCACAGGAACATTTACAGCAGCCTGACTGAATTTTTGCAAACAACATTGAAACAACAGAGTACTTTTTTTCTGTTTTCACATGCTGTCAATGTTGTTAAAAACAGCAAGATCCTAATAATTTCTTGTCACTGCAGGAGGCTGGAATTTTGCTGTTGGTTATTAATGAACTTTTGACCACTATTACCATAAGAAGTTGAGTGTCTAAATTCTGCAGCATTTCCTTTGCAGGACTGTGGATTTACACTCTGCCTTCAGCTATTGAAAGTGCTTCTTGTTTACTCTTGTAATAATTTAGCAAACAGGAGGAAATAACAGTACCTGGAAATAGAATTTGAGTCACATCTCAAAACTATTAACATTCAGAGGAAACCCTTAAACTGGGACAAGTCTGTAAGTTCTACTGCATGCATTAAGAATGGAAATATAAAAGTGCTCAGCCGTTTGATGAAGTGGTATCAGGAAATGGGACATTAAATCAAGTCTAACAATTCACAAATACACATTAGTCTTTTCATCCTTGAACTGTCTGTTTGCTGAAGCAGACTTTTGTTATTACTGCCTGTAACAGCATTGTATGGACACAGAAGTTTGCAAGACCAGATCAAAAAGCAACAAAATGGTTGCTGCTCAGGTAAGACAAATGCTATCTGATGAAATAAACCCAGCTTTCCAAAAAATTTTATCATTTTAATCAATTTTTTTTAAACTATCAATATAAGTGAAGGAAATTTGAAAATACCTCTGACACACACCTCTCCAGGGAAGAACTGTGACTGGAGAAAAGACATGTCAGAAGAATAACCTCAAACATTAAAAAGGTGGAATAAGGACATGACACAAACAGGTACAATGTGAAAAAAGGACAGAAGTATTAAACAAGGCAAAATGCCCAAGGAGAGCAATGGTGAAAGGTGATTTAATGCCTCATTCAGCAGTTTTGGTATTAAAGAGCTTGTTAGGATCCTAGATGTAACAGGCATGACACAGACAGACAAACACCACAGTGTCAGAGGGCTGAAAGAGTAGAACCAGGAAGAGAAGCAGAATTGTTTGGCTGGCACCAGATCAGAGCTTCTAGTGAATAAAGTGAGGAGACACAACAAAGCAAGGCTTGGATTACACCTCCATGTCTAGCATCCTCACTCCAGACTGTTCCCATTCAGTTCACTGGGTTATGAAGCAAAAAGAAAAACAAGCAGGAATGAAGGAGTTTCAGAGGAGAAATTAACTCAGCTGGAAGAGGAAAGGTAGTCTGTTACACGTAAAGGATTGTGAGGAGAAGCGAGTAAATAAGCAGATGTGCAAAACAGGAAATAATTAATTAAAATAATAATCTCACAAGAAATGGGAGATTCTTCTGGTAAAGAAGCTAACAACCTGAGAGGAATTTGGGAAGCTGAACTTTTTCAGTTAGGCCTGTATTGGCATCCTGAATTCTTGCTTCAGGGGAAAGATCAAGAAATGCAAACAATGATTAATTTCCAAGTACATGTTTAGACACTTACCTATGTCCCTCATTAAATCCATATTTCGGTATGGCCAAGTAAAATGGAGTCTGGCCACCCTCAAAGCCCAGTCGGGGCCGATTCCCTCTTTGCCTTTCTCCTTTGTGCCCTCGGCCACACTTCCGACCCCCGTACCTTCCACGGCCACGTCGTCGCTCCTTCAAAACAACCAATGGTACATTTAGACAACTACTGCAGAGACCAGTACCTACAAAATATTAGTTTCAGAGACATAAACAATTGAGAAAATGCTGATTTTGAGGAAAAATTAAGTTATAGATCTTTTCTAAGAGGAAAAATAGAAAAGCAGTTAATGTGATTTTTGCAGAGCACAGCTTTAGGCTGGCATCACAAATAGTCTGGGGACAAATCAGCTTCCTTTGGTGGCAGGGACGGTCGAGTCTGGCACAAAATGCACTTGAATTCCGTACTATTCAGGAGTCTTCAGCACTTTCAGGATAGTGCTGCTGGCTGTTACCTTCTCTGCTCCTATGGTTTCAGCCCTTGAATCTCATCTCCCTGTTCACTAATGTTCCCCCCAAACTACGAGAGTTTCTCCCTCGTTTCTTTTCGTAATTTCTCTACCACTTTATAAGGAGACAGCTCACAGGTTTGTTTTCGAGAAGTAAGAACAGCAATGTTAGCTGGCATCACATTCCTTTTCCCTTCCATTTCCAAACACATTACTCCATCCCATAAACACCTGGAGCTCGAAGCCTTTTACTGTTCCCCTTCAGCCCCAGCAATGCCCTGAGGTTCAGCCAGCACCACCCATCAGGCAGCTCTGCGGGGACGGGCACGCATCGGCCACAAGGCACGCAAAGGGCAAGCGGCGGGCCAGCACACACACACACATACACACACATACACAAAGACACACATATATACACACACACAGACACACACATACATATACCCATACACACAAATACACACACATACACAAAGACACACGTATATACACACACACAGACACACACAAATACACACAGAGACACAGATACATACACAGACACAGATACATACACACACACAGATACACACAAATACACACACACACATACATATACACATACACACAAATACACACACATACACAAAGACACGCATATATACACACAGACACATACACACACACAAATACACACACACACAGACACAGCAGTGCCATCCGCTCCTCAGCCTCTCCACGCCTGCTCTGGCCATGCGGCTCTCCTGGCCGTGCCAGGACGATCTCCTGACAGCCCAGGGGCAAACCGCACCGGGACGGGGCGCGCCCGCTGCCGGGGCACAGTCCTGCCGCCCGGGCCCAGCCGGCGGGTCGCAGGCACTCACCCGCTTTTTGGCGCCGGGGTTGGGCCTTAGGTTGGCCAGGCTGACCCTGGGCAGCGAGCGCAGCAGCTCCAGGCCCCGGCTCACGCCGCTCCCGCTCATGGCCGCTCCCTGCCAAGGGCGCCCGCGGCGAGCACGCCCGGCCGCGCCGCTTTACGGCAGCGCCGCAAACCGCGGCTGCCGCGCGTTCGCAGCGGTGTCGCGCAGGCGGGGGCGGCGGGCCCGGTGTCCGGCGGTCCCGGAGCTCGGAATTCCAATGGTTGGGAACAGGGCGCTCCTGGCGTTTTGTCACTGCTGTTTTGTTACTGAGACCTCAGCCAAGTGTCCCCAAGCCGAGTCTCTAAAACCATCAGGCATCTAAACGCGGCTGGCCTTTTTCAGCTGCCCCCGTGCAGGTACTGGAGTGTCCATTGCGGGGCAGACTCCCGGGGCGTCACCCCAGGAACAGCCACCCCGCCATCAGTGGGATCAGGGAAAGAATTGGAAGGATAAAAGGTAGAAAGCTCGTGGGTTAAGATAAGGACATTAATAGGGAAAGCAAAAGCTGCACATCCACGCAAAGCAAAAGAAGGGATGAATTCACTCTTTACCATGGGTAGGCAGGTGGTCAGCCATCTCCAGGAGAGCAGAGCCTCACCATGTGTAATGGGTACATGGGAAGACAAATACCATCACCCAAAACATCCCCCCTCCTTCTTCCCCCCACTTTATATACTGAGCATGATGACATAAGGTCTGGAATATCCCTTTGGTGATTGAGGTCACCTGTCCTGGCTGTGTTTCCTCCCATGCATTCCCAGTCTTCTCATGAGCATGGCAACGTGAAAAGCAGAGGAGGCCTTGGCTCTGCGTAAGCTCTGCTGAGCTATAGCAGAAACATCTCTATATTATCCTTCCTGTGTTCAGCACAAATCCAAATCTGAGCCCCTCACTGAACATTGGGAATAAAATTACTGCAGTCAACACTGAGACAAAGACATTCCTAGTACTGCTGAGACAGAGACATTCCTGGTACTGCTGCAGTACTTGATTGCATCTATTATTTCAGTCCTTTAACTTTAAATGTGCACCTAGTTTATGGAAAACCATACAGCAGCTTCCATCAGTATATTGGTCTGGTGGGAAGGGTGTGTGGGGTGTAGGCTCAGTGCAGTGAAGAACTGAATTGTAGAAGCTGCCACTGTGGAGTTACAGAGCAGAAAGAACAACTCCCGTTGTGAAAGCTGATACTCCTCAGTGTAATATCCTGCTTTCCATCGTGAAACTTCTGTTTGACAGTACCTTCTTCCATGTTCAATGTCTGCTTCAGACTGGAGAAGGGATCAGGCAGCAGCTCTGCCAGCACTGAGAATGGATGGAGGTAAAATGACAATCATGCTGCAGAAATCTGTGAGTTTCAGTTTGAAATCTATGTAGCTTGTTACCCCTTTAAAAAATTACATTGTAACAATACACAAGATGCTGGTATGGACAACCATTTCATCTAAGCCCATTTTAGCCTCTAGGGCAGGGAAAACTAAATAATTTAAGGAATGCTTTGCCTTGTAAAACTCTCACTGATCTAAACAGAAATTTCAAATCAGGTGGAAAAGTATAATACCCAAGATAGATATCTCACTCTGAAGGGACAGCCAATGTACCATTTTTGAAAGGTTCACAGCTCAGATGTTTCCAGCAATTTGGCATTCCTGTTTCAGTTTCTTGAACACTTGTCTGTGCCCAGCAGACAATGCCCCATGCCCAATCCATGCAGAGCTCACGTTTCCCCAGTGCCCCCCCTGGGGCCAGGCTAGCAGCAACCAGGAATTCAAGTAAGATCACTCCAGCTCTGCTGACTAAAATACTAAAATCTTGTTCTGTTTATTAGCAGACTATTACTTCTTAGGCTGGAAGTTCAGTAGCAGCTCACCTAATGGAAGTGACATTTACATGGTAAATAGCAGAGTAGTGAGGGAAAGCAAAATTTTTTTCATGTCCCAAAAAGATGATGTAGAGCAAGAGTCAGGTTCAGCATACTTAATAAGCACCTGACATCATGTGCAGCTCCTAATCTTTGAAGAACTTTTAAAGCATAAACTGTATTTTCTTGAATTGGGTACAGTACATGAGGCAGGAGCACATGCTAAATTAGAGACAAATCAAACCACAAAAAGTTACCTGTGAAAATAATCAAATTTTAGCAATAACAGGGATGCCCTGGCATCAATACTATGTATCAAAGCAGCCTAACAATCATGGCAAAAGAGGATGTGCATTCAATGTTACACAGCTGTCATAAGGGCTCCTCCAATAAGTTTTATGCAGCCAGTGCTGGTGATGTTGATGAGCAAAAGCTTTGTGAAAAATTGTCCCTGTTTGGGATGGAGCACAGCAGTGGGAAGGATGTGAAAGAAGCACAGTGTGCGTTCAGCTGCTCTTGGAGCTGCCAAACAAGCATCCATGGCAGCCACTTACCACCCGGCAAACACAATGAGCATATTGATTTTCTGGGAGTAAATATCTGACAGAGATGTATGGAAGAGAAGACAAAGAACAAAGTATTCCCTTCTGATAGAAATGTGTTTGCCATACATATTCAGAGTCGGTCTAAGTGTTTGGAATGGACTGGAATGATCCAGTAACTCCAACCAGAGTGCCTGAATAGCCTAACACATCTCAAGATGAGTAAGAATCAGTGACTTGGGAGCTGTAAGCCGAGAGGTTTAATTCGGCGGTGAAGGCATCTGACCCGATGAGTACAGACGAGCCCCGTCTCGCCGTGCTGTTTGCTGTATTTGTGCTGCTTTCCCTGCCATCCCGTGACTTAGCCTTTTCTATTTCACCTATTTAAGAATACCGTAATTTCCTCCTTCCCCCGGGCCTTACAGCTCAGCGCCAGGCGCCCGCCCGCCCGCGCCCCTCCCACCGACTCCGCCGCCTCCCGCGTCGCCTCCCGCCGCTGGCCCGTGTCCCGCCGGCCGCCCCGCAGCCCGGTGCATGTGCGGCAACAACATGTCGGCTCCTCTGCCCGCCATCGTCCCGGCCGCCAGGAAGGCCACGGCCGCCGTGAGTGTGGCGGGGCGCGGGCCGGGAGCGCGGGCAGGCAGCGCCGCCGCCCCGCTTTGTTGGCGCGGCGGCCGCGGGCGGGCGGGGGGCGAGGCGCGGCCGCGCCGCCGCTGAGGGGGATGGCGGGCGGGTCGCTCCCGTCCCTCGCCTTCCCTTGCCGTGCAGAGGCGGGCCGGGCTCGGCACCTGGAAGGGCAGCGGTGCCCGCGGGGAGCGGCCGCTGATGGCGGCGGGGCCGGGGAGGGGAAGTGAGCGAAGCGGAGTTTTCTTGGGAGAAAGTGGTGCCGCGCTTCGAACCGCGCCTGACCTTGGGTGGGCGCCTGGGGCTCGTGTGCCTGTTCACTGATCCTAAACCTCTGCCTTTGTTGTCTTTTTTTTTTTTTTTTTTTTTTTTTTGTGTGTTGTTGCTGTTTTATTTCCCTCAGGTCATTTTTCTTCACGGATTAGGAGATACCGGGTGTGTATTCTGATCTATTGCATACTCAGTAGCTATTATACTTTCAAATATAACCTGCATATTTTAAGCACGTGAGCAGTTAAAATTTACTTAAGCTTCTTATTTTGCCCTTTACTGAATGCAGCGGCCAACAGCAGATAAAACTTCACGTGGCCTGCAATGATGGTGACAACTATTTAATTAAAATTTTCCACTAAGTCCTTGAAAACTTTACTCACCTAATTTGGTCTAAATGTGATTTCTCTTTTGTCCCTGAGACAAACTTTGTAGAAAAAGAAGAGTGTGATTTTCTGATCATTTGCTTTCCTGAGAGTGGGTTTCTGGTTATTCCTGTGTTTGTCTAAATTTAGAGTTCTTTTTTATTCCAGACTTGTGGATTGTTGGTTTAACAATAGCTGCTGTTAGTCTGTGGTTTCTTCATCAATATGTCATACTTACACTAAAATCCAGACCTCTTTGATCTATATAAGCAAACTCCAAAGTAGTCACCTAATATCTACAGATTTTTGTCTCTGAAATATGGTCTTCAGACTCCAAAAAAATGCCCCCTAAATAAAATGTGTAATGCCCTGTTGCCTTGTTCCTGTTATTTCCATGTTTGAGTAGAAATGGAAAGAGTAGGGAATTTCTGGGAGGCATTCTAGCTCTGGTGTAATGTTTCCTTTTGAAGCTTGTGTGTACCCAGAAATAAGCATGCATTCATTAAAGCCATTGAATTAACAAGTTAAGAGAGTGTTGAAGCCTTTTTAGTGGAAGACTTTAAAGGAATTGGCACTTAGATACTGAAAATAAATAGCATGAATGCTTTGTCTATTTTGCTCCCTTGTGGCTAAAATTACATAATATTTTTTTAAGAACTTTTTTTTTTTGTTACCTGGAACTTGAATGTTGCATCTAGGTTGAAACTTGCTATGTTATTTTTTCCAAAGTACTAACTAAAATTAGCTGCCAGAATTAAAACTTGCATAACCTGGGCATTTAGTAAGTTAAAAAAGAGTCAAATCCATGCACTTGGCAGTATTCTACAAGTGGAGGTTTTTGCTCTGATGTGTTGTGCTGGCACAACACCTTGTTTGCATTACCCCTCTTCCTTTCTGCTGGTGGGAGGCAGCTGAGGCAGCAGTACTGCCTGCATCTTGGCACCAAATGTTCAGCAAGTGATTGCAGAATCTTTTGAGCTTTTGGAATTTGAGTCCTTGCAAATTGGCTCGGTGTTTGTTTTGGCAGGGGGTAAAAAATAGAGACTTTCTCTTTAACCTAAGTTATATTCCCTAGACAAGGTGGCATTTCCATTTCAGTGTCAGAGCTAAGGCACAGCCTCAATCTTGCAAATGCAGTGAGCATACTGGAACGTCTGCATTTGACAAGACATGACACCTCTGTGGAAATACAGTGATTTAGGTGTATTTCTTCTTCTAGTCTGCTGCAGATTAGATTAAATATACTGCCTTTGACATACTGTTGTTTGTGGTTTTTTTAAGTAAAAGCTGTAGGAGTGACCCAAAAAATTGCCTGAAGCAAACCTATTAACAATTTTATAACTTCCCCCAGTTTAAACTGACCTGTTCCGCTTCACATGAATTTCTAAATTGATCACTTCCATTTGCCAGCTGCATTTTTCTTACTCTGGAAAGTGTTTAACAGAGTTACATGCTTTTTCTGTCTTAGCTCCTGTATAAATGGCACTTAAAGATTGGTACATACTTGTCAAAATCTGAACAAAAGGTGCCATATAGAGAATTGTTCTAAGGAGTCTGCATTACTATGTACACAATGTTGCTTTTCAAATTTGTCAACTTCATAATTGGCTAAAATATGTTCCTAAATTCTTATGTAACTATTTTTTCTCAGTGATATTTCTCCTTTAGACTCTTATTCAACTCTCTGATACTGCAAATATTGTGCAAATCGTATTTCCTGCAATTTGTTAATAATATATCTAAAAGTACTGATAGGAAGTAGGCTGAGGTACAATCAGTGCTTCAAATGTCAGTGTGTTGGAATTGCCTTCAACTTCAGGTAGCATACATTAATTAACTTTCTTCAGGATGGTATTAAAACTAAACCAATCATGCCTTTATGGCTGGTCTGCTATTGGTCTGATTAGTTCAACTGTATCACTGACGGATTTATTAGAGGTGTTCCCTGCTTAGAACCAAATTCTCAGTATCGAATTTAATGGGTGAGTTAGGAATACTAAATGATGAGGAAAAATCAGGAAATATAGGTGAAATGAGTGTTCTGGAAAGCCAAGTGCAGGCATGTGCAGTGGCTGTGCATGGGTTCAGATTTGGGTCAAGGTCAGTTCCTGTCTCAATGAGGCCTGGAGTGAGTGTTGACCTTATGCTCTCCAGTGTTCTGGTTTGGAGGAAGCTCATTAACTCACCTGCTGTGCAGATCTTGTTCTGTTATGGACATTCATATACTGTATCTGCTTGAGATTAAAAAGCCACTGCAGTCTGGGGTGTTGTTCAGGACTGCCTGAATCCAAGAGCATTCAAGCTGAGCTGGAGTTAATAGGGCTGATTGATGGGGTTGGATCCATGTGGAGTTAGCTTAGGTGTTGGTTTGCTACTGTCCCACATCAAGAAATGTGGTTCACAGAATGCCAAGCTGGCTGTCAGAGAAGCTGTCTGAGCTCTGCAGGAGCAGCAAAGCAGCCTCTGTGCTGCCTGGAAGCAGGATACCTGTGTGCATCTGTTCTGGCACACAAATTAATAAAGCCAGACAGATACAGATACAGAGTGGGCTTTGCCTGGAGCCAAAGTGATATTTCTCTAGCTGCACCACAACTATGACAACCAAATTAGATCAAGTCTTCCTGACTGTGTATATGCCACAAGCATTCAAGGGCCAAACAAACCTTCTAACTTTAGTACTACATTCATAGTACACTGTGGTTGATGTAAATATTTTCTAAAAGTGTGTTGATATTGATCTAATTCAGCATGTTTCATACTTGGTTTGTGCTGATGCACCAGTTCAGAAATAAGAACTAAGCCAAAACCTAAAAGCAGTTGAGAATGTTTTTCTTTGCAGGCACGGATGGTCAGAAGCACTCGCTGGTATCAAAAGCCCCCATGTGAAATACATCTGCCCACACGCGTAAGTTTGTAACTTTCTTGTTTTACCTTTTTCTGTAGAGACATCATCTGTTAAAACACTTGTGCAGATGTCAGAGAGACACCTCAGAAGTGAGATGGCATCTGGCTATTCCTGCATTTTTGTTTTTTATATAAAAGCCCATTCTAAAATAGTGTTGATGCTATTAAGTGTTTTTTGTTTTCAGGAAATTCTGTGTGATTTACTTTGGGGTAAAACTGCATTTTTATTTGTACTTTGGTTCTGGTGCTTATTCAGGCTGAGAACATATTTGGAAAGTCTTAGGTACAAAGTTATATTTTTTGAATTTTTTCCCAGTGGAATGGGTTGTTTGTTCGTATCTTCCCCCCTCCCCCCCCCCCCCAACAATCTTTTGTCAAAAACAATTTTATGATGGAGTAATTTTTTTATTTTATTTTACTTACCATTACACATAATTTGCATTAACCAGCTGTACTTAAACTTGGGTGTGTGTATAGTAGATTGAAACTTGCGTATGTTACAAAGAAATTTAAAGATTGACAGGATAGTCAATATTTTGATATAGCTGATATTTTCAGCAAATAATGCAATATGAGCTGTCTTTGTGTGCAATTTGAGAAATGAAATACTTCTAAGCATCATCAGGCACCAGTAAATAAGGCAGTAAGATCTATCTACTATTGGCTTGGTGGTAGAAAAACTAATAAAGTATAATCTTAATTTATTTTAACACAAAACTTAGATTGTCTCTTGCTCCAGTGGTCTTGGCAGACGTGGAGCAGAGATGATAGGGAGAGAAGGAAGCAAAGTTTTGGTGTATCACTGAGCTGTGGTTTATTTATTTATTTTACCACGTGCCCCAGCTTTGCTGAACCATTCAAAAGGAGCTTAGCAATATCTGCTGTTTTCTTTGCTTGCCCTTTGTCTTCTTTCAATCCTTCCCCACAGCACTTATGCTGCTCAGTTGCTATAGATTAAAACTCAAGCCAGGTTTGATCCATGGCATGATCCATCCTGAAGCTGCCTTGCTGTGGCTGAAGAGATGGCACAGGGCTGGGAGGGAGCCCAGCAGTGAGGGCAGGCACTGCCCAAGCAGATTCAGCTGCTGACAGAAACATGCATGGCCAGGCTCCACCATGTGCTGCTTTTGGCTGCTTCCTGGTGATGCTGCTGTAGAAGGTGCCTAATCCACTGAATGGAACTGTGATAAATAATTCCTAAATACAAAGGAGTCAATGATATATTTATATTAAAATATGTTTATGAGATATATGCACTCACACACATGCACATTTAAAGCAGCCCATTAATGTTTTGCTTGCTCTCCATAGAGAGTGGTAATTCAACCCTGAATATTAAATGTGTTTGGGCTGGCAGGTTTCAAGTGAGTTTCTTCAGCAGATGCTGCAAAACAGCTAATGTTAATTACTGCTTAAAAGTAAGACAGAGGATATGCAATTCCATGATGTTACTGCATCTGCATTATTGAATTTCAGTATATATCTTATGTCAAGAGTGTTCATTCTCATTTCTAGGCCAGTTATGCCTGTTTCTTTGAACATGAACATGTCTATGCCATCATGGTAAGTATTTGTTCAAATGCAGATAGTTCTAATCAAATTATATCTGGGGCTATGAACTCATTGTTCTTAATTTAAAATCATGAGCAACCTGAGTATCTGGTTTTAATCACATGAAAGTGTAAACCTTTTTACTTTAGATATTTTCTTATAAAAGAACAGAACTAAAAGGGCTGCCATGAGTACATTCTAGTTATCATTTTGTATCTATGCTAGTGATTATTCCTCAGGACTAATCTGTATATCTTAGAACAAAACCCCATTTTTATTCTACAGATATGGTCTGTAGTATGCATTGTGTCTGAATTCCTAGTCAGTAGAAGCAGAGACTTGGAGTGGAAATATTATTGCTACTAGTGAGTAATATTTGGTGGGTCAGTAGGATATGTAGAAACTGTTCTTTAGAACATTCATTCTGAATAGAGAGCAAGAAGAACTTGGTTTCAATGATCTGAAACCAGTCTTCAGTTTTATTGGATTTTGGGCTTTCCCCCTTCCCCCCAGAGTAACTTGTGTTTGTTTTTCTTGTATTTCTTCAAACCATATTTTAACTTCTACATGCAGCAAAATTCCTGCTAATATTTTTTTGAGCAAATATCAAAACTGTGCTGCTTAATCTGCAGTAAGTTACAGAAGATGTCAAAACTCAGAACAGCCTTGTTGACTAGATCTAGTCTTTTAAGCCACATTCACAGATTGTGCACTGTTTCTTGTGATCTATGGGTAGTTGGCAATAAACAATATGACAGCTAACATTTTTGTCTGGAAAACATCCAGATTTCATTATTTGTGTATTAAAGAACTGGAATGGATGCTCTAATGAGTAATGCTCTTGTTGATGTTTCTGTAAGGTTTGATATCATTGGACTTTCTCCAGATTCACAGGAAGATGAAGCTGGGATCAAGCAGGCGGCGGAGAATGGTATACTTAGGAGAATTTTTTATGTCTTAAAAGTACTTCCAGGTATTCTTGAAAATTAACTATCAGTCTGAAACAGGTTTTCTAAAGCTAATATTTTTTTAGGGAAAAGAATATTTGTATATGGTATTATCACTGACCAAAGTTTAGCTACATTAATTGTTTATTGTTTGTTTGTTTTTTAACTTTATTAGTAAGTAGAGTAATTCATCAATATAAACACTTCATACTCTGAAATATGGGAACAAGTGTAGGTTTTTTAAAGAGCTTTTGGGTAGTGCAGCAGGTCAGAGCAGTATTGGCATCCAGTTGTGTTGCTTTTAGTTGGAAGAGGATGCCATCTTCCCAACACTGGAGCTTTTGCAAAACCGATTTGCATGTTTTTCTCTTTGGAAATGATACAGTGGCCCTGACATTTCTGACTGTGCTCTAGGTCTTCTGGTAGTAGAAGCCTAGATTTTCCTTTCACTAGCTTTCTCTTGATGCCAGGAAGAATGCATTTTTCCTCTTCTGGACTTTCTAGAGAATGGAGTGGATTTTAACAGCTGGCCTTTATTTATGTTGCAGTTAAAGCACTGATAGATCAAGAAGTAAAAAATGGAATTCCTTCTAATAGAATTATTCTGGGAGGCTTTTCTCAGGTAAGGTATGGTTGGAAAGAACCATTGTCATTTTTCTAGGGAAGTAACCTAGCTTTATTAACTTCAGAAACCCAAACACTTAAATTGAAATCAGCTGATGTTAGATGCCTCTAAAATTTTAAGGTGCCAATTTTGCTTTAACAAATGAAGTTTTTTGATTCTATGCAAATAATTACTGTTGTCTGGAAAATGAACATACATGTGTAAAAAAGGTACTAAAATAAATTGTCTGTTCAAAACCTTTATGTACGTAACCTAAATAGTTCTGCTTGAAAATTTTGGTAATATTTTTAATTGAATTTGGTAGATATTTGGTGGTCTGGATTTATTTGGGAAATCTTTTCCTTTACACTTGTAGGGCATCTGTGGTAGGTAGGTTAGTTGATTAATTGGTCCATACATCAACTCCCCCAGTCTGCATGCAAATGAATTAAATATTAAAGTAGTGATAATACTGTTGTGATGAAATTATTGCAGTGCTAAAATGTTGTGAGTAATAGTCTTTGGTTTTGGGGTTTTTTTCACAAGTGTTAGTTACAGTAAATTTGCTGGCTTACCTCTGAATTGACCACATGGACTTGGAAGGGAGGAGAAAAAGCAAAACAAACGTTGTACATAAGTACTGGTTTTAGTTGTTGGCTCTAAAGGAGAATAGATTGCAATAGGAAAAGACTTTTAAAGGAGAAATCAGGGATTTTGAAGCAAACATTAAAAAGAACTTTACTGTCATTATTCTAATAATATTTATATCTCTTTATTTTAGGGAGGTGCTTTATCACTGTATACAGCTCTTACAACACATCAGAAATTAGCAGGCGTTGTAGCCCTCAGCTGCTGGCTTCCTCTACGGGCTTCTTTTCCTCAGGTATTTGTTTCTTTCCCGAGATGATTTGCACTTAGGGAATGAGTATCTCTGAAGATTGAATCTTGTGCAAGAATTAGTGGTCATCATTATTACCGGATGACTGTTGTTTGATAATTTGGAAGTTTTTAAAATAGGGCCTTAAAATTTTAGATTTTGTTAAGTAAGGAAAATGAAGAAACACTCAGTAGCTATTTTTGCTTAAAATGACACTACTAGAAAATTTAAAGGACAGAACAAATTTTCCTTGAAGGTTAATTTTCTGTCTGCCATTTGTTCCATTGCGAGGCACTGTCTTATTAGAGACTGAGTGTTTGAGCAAAATTTCAAGTTTTTTACTTGGCCAGAAATTATGACTTTCTGTTACAAAACTTTTTGTCAAAATTTTATTTGCATGTCTTTGAGCTTAATGTGTTGTCAGGTACAGAGCTTACTTCATAAGGAGCTGCTTGCAGGCCATACATTGTACTATTTCCCCTCAGAATTCAATTTGCTTGTCATGTCACAGGGTATAGTGCCATGTTTTTTTTTATTTCAAAGGTGTTAGCCTTATCTCCACTTAGTGTCTCTTTCTTCTCTTCTCCTGTCTAATTCCACCCCTCCTAGGGCCCTATCAGTGGTGTCAACAAGGATATTGCTGTTCTTCAGTGCCATGGGGACTGTGACCCCCTGGTTCCTGTAATGTTTGGTTCCCTCACTGTTGAGAAGCTGAAGACTATGATAAATCCAGCCAATGTAACCTTCAAGACTTACTCTGGCATGATGCATAGTTCATCTCTTGAGGTAATTTTCTAAATACAGCCTGTTTTAGCTGGTTATAGTTAATTCTTTTTCCTTCAAAACTAATATTTATAGGCTTTTTGTGAGGGGGGTTAGTTTTTGTTTGCTCTCTTTGTTTTGGTTTTGTTTCTTTTTTTTTTTTTTTTAATACATGCTTCATGCTATTTATTTTGATGTATACTGAATTCTGGGCTAAAAAGCATCCAAAGCAGAAGTTTGTATGACAGGTGAGAACTTCCTTGTACGATTGTATTTTGGGGACTAGGTGACTTGGTCTATAAAATGCTCTTTTTCACAAATTTTTATTATTTGCTTAGTTAAAAAACCTAATTAGAATTAAAAGACAAATTCTCATGGCATAAATCCAAGATGGTGTTTTGGAGAGAAGAATCCTGGTAGTTCTGCGGAGGGAAGCATAGAAGGAGTAGGGAGGGAGGTCTGACACTATGGAAGAGGCAGCCTCAGAGCCTGCATTTATGGTTCTGGCTCAGCAGACAGCTGAGCTGATGTAAGAACTTCCTGCTGCCAGAGAGGGGTGGACTCCTTCTGTTCCTGACCTCGTGGCCCTCACTTCCTCCTTGTACCGGCTCTGGGGCGGGTCAGAAACTTCCTTGAATCATTTGAATTTGCTAAAATGGCAAAAGCTGCAGCCTTCAGTGTTTGCAGCCACAGGGAGCTGGAGCTTCAGAACTCAACTAAGTAAGTGATGAGAGCAAGAAATCAAAGAGGAAGCAAAGAACAGATTTGCCAGCAGCAGTAACATTGTTAATTTAGATTGTTGCATCTTGTGGGAACTGTAACTTTGAACACCCTCTTTGTAACATTTACAGAGTAGTGCTGCATTGAGCCTGTAATATTGCTGAGCTGTTACACAAATATATTAGTAAGGTGTTCTTTCTTACAACAGTGACTTAATTTAAAAAAAGATTACCATGGATTAGTTTCTCAGTCTTGTTTGCTGTATTTCTTTTGCTTAAGGAAGGAAGCATGCTGAAAATGAAACTGGATGGTTAGGAGGAGGAGTTGCTGGCTTTCCATGCTGCTGCTAACTTGTAAAAGTTTAAAGTATAAAAGAAGCTATGGCCTTAGCTACACAGTCACCCTGGTGCTATCAAGATCACTTAATATGCAGCTTGCTTGTTCAGCTCCAGAGGAAGAGAAAAAGTAGTCTTTGCTTTTTTTCTTGTATTTTAGCCTCTGCTAAGTGCATATCAGCACTGTGAAGTTATCAGCCTGACTTGTGTGCAGAGTGGTAATTAAGTAACTGATTGCTCAATATCTCTAGCCCAGCTGCTCATTATAACTCAATGTTAAAGCATGATTTAATGTAGCTGATTGCGTAGTGGTAGACGACTTCAACTAATACAGACTTTTATCTTTAAACAGGAAATGATGGATGTAAAACAGTTCATAGACAAACATCTACCTCCCATAGACTGAATTTATCTGTGAGAAGCCTTCTATATAAATACACCAGCATCAACTGTGGTAGAGTGTTAAATCTTTTCATATGCCTGATAGGAAACATTATTTCTATACCTGCAGTGTTACTACTGTGTTGCAAATTTATACTTACAATGAAGATTAAATAATACACATGTACAAGAAATGATTATCTTTTTAGTATTTTTCAGCCAGTGCTGGGAAGGATGTGAATGAGGGAACTACATAACAATGACAGAATGTAACTGTTTTAAAATGTTGGATTATTTTTTTTCTTGATTGCAGAATTTCAAACTATTTGTACAAGTAATAAAAAACTAAATTTAGGTGAGCAAGATAGATGTGACCAGTTAAGTTTTACTTGAAATGTGATTTGTTCTTTCCTTCTTCATTGAAAACATGGCATTTCTTTTATGTAATGAATGCATAAAGAACACAACATAAAACACAGTGGGCATAAAGTACAGAACATGTAATGTAGTGGGCATATGATGGTAGAATAAATGCTACCAGGGATAAAGCTTAAGGATTATATGTTAATTCTTTAACAGATAAGGAGGGTAGTTCTATAATGGCTAGAAGTCAGCAAAGGTATTTCTTATATTTAAACCACCTCAATTTTGAAATGTTGATATAGATAAATACTGTGGAAATTCTAAAGGGACTCATTCATTCATTATTAGACTGTTGTTTGTCTTATTGTCTTTTTTCTTTTAAACTCATTGCAAATGTTGACTTGGAACAGAATTCTGATAAAGTGCATAGGATTAATTTGAGTTTTGTTAAAAAAAATCCTTGTTTTCATACTGAATATTCATCTGATGCTTTATTTGTAGTTTTCATTTGTTTATGTATTTCACACGAACAACTACAGAATATTGTTTTGATTTTTTTTCTCTGTACTTTGGAGAAAATAACTGAAAATAGTGCATGTATGTAGTTCTGTGTATTGTTGAACTCTTATCTGTAACACATGCTTATTTGAATTATTTTTTGCTAGAAATATAAGTGCAATTGGGATATAACTTAGCTAAATTTTAAAGTGATACTTTTAGATAATACCATATAATACCTTCTCTTATTACATGTTGAGACTTGATTTTTTTTCTGAATTGGAACAAAGCATTTTCTTTTAAAATCTATCCTTCTACATTTTCCCAGATCAGTATAGCCTAGGAATATAAAGACCTATCCTGGGAAAAAAGGAGCAAATTTACAAGATACAAAATGTTTCTTCTTTCAGAACCTTAAAATTGTAGAATGCACTGGTTTACAGGAGTTGATGCACACTCAATAGCTTTTTTTCAGTTCAGAGCCATAATTTACTGCTGGGAGCAGCTGTTCTGTGGCATTCAGAGGCTGTTACCACATTAGGAATGTTTAAAACAATGCACTACACTTCTTACTGCATAATGTGCTGCATAACAATGTTCTATCCTGTAATATGCTTTCAGTCAAAGAATATTTCTATCTTGGATGTATCTGTCATGTCAGCACTGTGCTGCACACCTCAGTTTAAGGTACTTTTCCTCTCCCAGGGGTCCTCTTACAGTGTATGTGAATTTACATCAGGTATCTGCCAGTACAAATACACACATGAGGAATTGCACCTTTATATCTCTCCTCTAGCATTGCTGCTGCCAGAGATCTGACCTGTTTACCTAGTCTGAGTAACCAGTTTTCAGTGTTTCAGTGTGGTTTTTTTTTTTTTTTTTTTTTTGATGTTGCACTTCATTTTTAGGAAGCTGCTTCTTTTCTAATCCAGTTTCTCTGGATTGTTAAACATCTCTTAATATGTAAAATTGAAAAAGAGTTTTTTTCCTAAATGGTAATGAAACAGTTTTAGATATTCCATCTGTGTAGTTAAGAGGGCATTTTTATTAACTTTGAAGTTTAATTAGTAATTTCTCTCAGTCGCTCTCTTCTATAGATCTGCCAATTTGTCTTTCAGTTAATTTAGTTCACAGAAGAAACCATAATATTCTTACTGTAGTTGTGCCAAAGTTCTGTTGAGAAAACATTATGTCCTAGCTTGGAGTCATTCCCAAATTGCATTAGCTGATTTTGCAATTCTACTAAATTGCAGTCTTGGTAAGCAAACTATATGTTATTTCTCCTAGTTTTTAGATTTCTTTTCATTCCCCTATTGTCTAAATAATTCCCTGAGAATTGGTGTATTTCCAAAGTTCTTGCACAAGTTTCTAATTTTCCCTTCATTCTTTTCATATTCTGTTTGTAGATTTGTTGTTAACTCTGTTCATCTGTCTTAACTTCTAATTGACTGTGTTCTCATTTCACATATTTTTCCTTCTGCAAGAATTAGTTTTAAAAAGTATTTCCAAGATGTTAAAATGAGATTTGCCCTAGTTTCTTTCTGTGTTAGCTCCATAACACTTTCTTCAAGTTGATGAACTGTGTTTACAGTTTGTGGTCACCTTCTAGTACTTAAACACTCTAATCCAAGTCAGCTTCAGCTGTCACTGTCATGATGCTTTCAGATGTTCTAGAAATGCTTTTTATGTGTTAACTTTGTTCAAACACTCAGCTATCATAACAAGACTCTTTTTCATGTTGTTTTGCTGCTTGCTATATCTACAAAGAGCTGTGTTACCAAAGTCTGTATAAGGAAATGTTTTGACTTACTTTGAATTTCTGTATTCTAGGAAGAATACTCCTCCTTTTTTTAAATTCAGGAGTGCATGTTTATATTGTGGTTGGGAGTTCTTAAAGAGCCCAGAAGCTAGAGGAAATTTCAAGTCTGTGTGTCCTCCCATATTACGCTGTGTATGTAGAGCTCCTGTCTTTTATAGCTTCCCAGCTGGTTTGAAAGCTTTGTGTATGATCTTGCAGCTGAACATCTTCACTACCTGAAGTGATTTGATGCTGGGATTCTTGTTATAATGCATGTACTTGAGGCTGAATAATAGCTCAGTCTGCTGGGGGAGTTTTCATAGTATTTTATTAAAATGGAGAAGTTGGACTGTCAGTGTTCTAAATGTGAATGTCCTATCCTTTTAAACTACAATTTGAAACTTTCCAATACTGTCTATTCTTTGTAATGGGAGACTTTCCACCAAAGGAGATGATGTCTATCAAACCTGTGAAAGCATTGATAAGAAAATACCTTGCTTGCAGATCAGTTTGTTTCAATGAGTATCTAACTCCTTAATGTGCTCCTAATTTCAAAATGGTACTTAAATTGGACTGCAGTTTTGTGCTGTCAGAAGTCTGACTTCTTGTTGGAATATATTGCCCACTTTTGAATAAAGATGTTGAATTGCATATTATAAGCCAAATTTTCCAGCTATTCTTGAGGTAAAACTTTACTTGGGTCTGTACTGTGGTGAGGGCTGTATGATTTGGTCTCTTTGTCCTATCTTGTATAATTACAACACAGTAGATTGGTAAAAGTACTGTACACTGTAACTGGTATTAGAACTGTTAATTAAAACATGTTCTCTCTAGTGGAGTACACTGCACTTCATTGAAATCATTTGGATGCATCTTTTATGTAGAGGTCTTATTTGGGTTGATGGGTATGACTGAGGGCAAACTGTAAGATGTTAATGAAGCCATATGTAAAAGGCCTGTCTCTTAAATTTTACAAACAAATACTGAACACTTATTCCTTGTGTTAAGACATATAAGCCATTTATATTTACTATAAACCTCTAAAATGTAATTTATTTTACTAATTTTATTTATTATAAGAAATCTTACTTTGGAAATTATTTCTGTACTAGGGAAAATGTAAGAGCTCTCAATTTTTAATCATTGTGAAATAAATTTCAATTGGTATTTGGGCAAGTACTAAAGATTTTTTCCATACCTACCTGAAGAAAGTTGAGCTTTTACGTGTTGTGAAACAGGCACTCTAGAGGCTCCTTGGAAATGTATTGTATGGTAATGTATGCATACTATAATACAGAAGAACAATGATTTGTCTTTACTGAAAAAAAAATCACTTACCAAGTTAGGTTTTGCTACTTTGTTGAAAGAATCCTACGTATGATTGGAGGGTGGTTTTCAAATTCTGGCTTAATTTTATTTTAACTTTTTTTCTTGGAATTTGCAATAATTTTGAAAGATCAAAGAAATTAAGTTATTTTCTAGTAAAGTTACTCTAGGACACTGAAGAGCCCAGGTCTTCTCACTCTGGATTGCTGCACCATTCTCTGGATGTTCTGTGCTGTTGGAAAGGCTTTGAAGTTGATTAAGGTTTGGCATACACACCACTTCACAGATTTGTTAGAGAGACAATTTTCAGGTCGGGGGTTACATGTGCTATTTAGTTTAATATTTGAGGGCAATCAGTGCTATACATAGTGCAGGGTACCCTAGAGAAAAAGTGGGATTGTCTGGGAAGAGAGGGAATGGAGCATATGTGTGGTAAGGGCTGACTTCCCCCTTGAAGCAGCTTAAAGCAACTTAAAGGCCACTTGTCTCCCCAGACTGCAATATCCAAAAGTCAGTGTGGAGTACAATGAGGAATTTCATAAGTGTATGGGAATGTGTGGTAGATGCAGTGCTCTATGTGAATAGGTTGTGGCAAATCAAGAGTCTAAGAATAGCCAGTAACAATAGAGATGCAATATTAGAGCAATCTGCCAGTTCATATTTTTTGAAAAACATTTTGAGTAATGTTCAGTTTCTATTTACTTTGAGCCCTGGCATCCCTGATAAGGTAATTGTGAGGAGAAAAATTGCCTAAAACTAGCATAGTAAAAACCCCCAAAACAAGACAATGTAGTGTATTAAACTTTCTCAAATATAGTATGAGAGTAGGGGTGTAAGTGAAGAACGTGACTCAAGAAGTTTTCAGAATATCTGTTGGTTAAATTGAGAATGTGGTTCTTTGAAGATTAATAGCTGTAGAACAGATTCCCCCTTCTTACCCTGCTCTCCCCTTTTTTTTTCCTTCCTTTTCATTGCTTGCCACTCTCATCTTACCACATTTGCCTTTGGGATAACAGATTTTATTAATTCTCTTTGAGTTGAACAGGTACCTTTGATGTAACTGATTAAAGTTGATTTAAACAAAGTACTTGTGTAATTTAATGGATGGCCACAAAGTGAACCAGTAGATAATGGTTTTCTTTTAGGACCAATTACTAGAAAAGAGCAACCCATTGCCTCCTTTTTTATCTGAAAAACTAGTAAAACTTTAAAACTTCCAGCCAGTTTGCAGAGGTGTAGTGAACTTGCTTCAGGCATCTAAGTGGGAGGTTTAGCTTGTGTTTGTGAGGAGAAAATAGACTTCCCTCATCTAAGGTTTGTTTTAAAGAGCTACTTCTCTGCATTAACAGATGGAGCAGATGGAGTCTGAATGTTCCTCAGTTGGGAATATAAGCAAACTCTTAAAGTAGTTTGTGCTTGAAATTATTTGCTAGCTTGAAATGATTTGTGTTGTAGTATTTGAAATTATCAGAGAGGATCTTTAAAAGGCTTAAATATTTTAAGTCTATATTGAAAAAAATTGACAAAGCTGCCACAGAATAAATAGAGAAGTCTAACAAACTTAAAAACTCTAGAAACTAAAATAGAGGTAAAAAAATTAGGTTTTTTTTAAAATATTTGAATGCCTACTGTTTCTGCTTCTAAGTTGAAAAAAGTGAAGACATTTTGAAAAAGTAAATAAAAAAACCCCAACCCACCTGTTGTATAGTTATAGAACAATTTATCCAGATGTTTATTGATATTTCAGAAGTTTTTGAACAAAATCTGTTATGAGAAATTGGAATTTCCATTTGCTATAGCTCCCCTTATTTGTCTGTGATTGGACTCATCTCCTCTTCCTCTGCAAAGGTTGGTGACCACTTGGCTGATTCAGACCAGCTGAGATTCTGGAAGATCTAAGACATTGCACCCAGGGCTCAGATAAAGAGGAGAGAGTTAATAGCCATGACATGGTTATATAAAGCCTTTTGCAATGCTGTGAATGTTATATATTGCACAGTTGTGTTACTACCCAGTTAGAGGAGCTTTTTCCATAAGGAATATCACTCCTGAAAATGTAGGATTTTAAGTGCCTTGATAGCAGTTCAGAGATTCTTTACTTCAAATTCTGCAGTAGTGAATGTGCTACTGTGTTGCCCCTCCTGCCCCAAATTTCTGAAGATGCTGTCTCATATCAAAAGAGTCTAGTCAGTTAAAATTGGTGTTATTTCATAAGTTCACTCTTTTAGGAAATGTCATCTCTACCTGCTAAGTCTTAGTATTGCAGAAGGCCCCATGGTCCAGCAAATGAGAGTTGGACACAGGCTTTCTGCATGAGCAGGTGTGCAAAACACTTTAGAAAATGTTGCAAGAGAAAAGTGAGGATGTGCCATAGCAGGTAAGTGCAGTGCAATGAACAGTGTGTTATTTCTTCTGTCTAATGTGTTAATTTAGGAGAATGATGCTAAACAGACAGGAAAAAGTCAGTTAGGTTGTTTTTCCCTCTCCTACTCCTCTTTGAACTTGGAGTGACATGTTATAGAAGAGACTGGTGCTGTACAAAGCTGCTTGGTTTAGAACCAGCTAGAAGAGAACAAGCATGAGGAGTGCTGTGTGTTCCTTTTCAATAAAGACTTGCTGTCCCCAGGGTGGTGGAGCAGCTGATGTAAAGAATTGGGTTAGTACTGGCTCAGTTAATTTATATGTTCTGGTATTGTAGCATACAATATAAATAATGTGAGCTGTATTATGTTTTCTTTCAATGCATCTACTTGCAAAAAATAAAAAGGGTATGCATTGCCCTCTGATTATTCTTTGATTTCCCTACTGAAATATTTCTCTGATGCCACTTTTTAAAGATTAGAGGTTAAATAAGTATGATGCGCTTTGCCTTTTGTAAGTGCTCTCATGGGATTTAATTTATAATTTTCAATTTCTCAACTGATACATTTTGGATGTTAATAGATTTCATCTGCATTTTGAACTCTTTCCATGCATTTCCAGTGAAGTAGATGTTGAATTGTATTTTTAAAAGAAATTTTAGAAAAATCTGACTTTATTCCAGAGTTTAAATGCATTTAAACTTGCCAAAGTGACTGATTTGAGATTTCTAGTTTTGTGGTTGTATTGTCCCTGACCTAACTTGCACCTACTGTAGAACATGTACAAGCTTGTTGATCCTGTAGTGTAGCAATAGCTCTGAGCTGCCAACACCCTGTGTGTTGTTTTTATCATTTATGTGATTGTGAGGAACAATGATGTTAAACTTCATTGAGGTTAGCATCAGGGTAAATACCAGTGTTTGATTTTTACAGGTACTAGGTAACTAAATCTAGACAAAATGGAATTAAACCTGAAATGGCACAATCCCTCAAATGTTGTGAGAAGCTGCATTCTTTTATTTTTGTCTTCCCAAAATCTGCTCCTGAATGAAAAGGTATTCTTTTCCTTAAAAAATATTTTCTTTGTTCTTGGGGAGTTTTTCTACCCCCTGTTGGTCAGAATAAACAAAAAAGCAGCAGATCAAGTTTCTGTATGCTTGTCCAGTTTATGGCCCAGATCGAACCTGGGGGAAGATCCTGTAGAAGCAATAAATAATATTAATTGCTTCTAATATGTGCAGGCCTTAGGGTTGACCATGGTGTCCATTGAGCAGGATGCAGAAGTGCCCAAAACCCACCTGTTTCTATTTGGCTTCAAAACACAGGACTGTGTGTTGGTGGGTTTTGCTATAATGGCTTCCTTGAGTGCTGTTGGAGGAAAAGGTCTGCCTTGCCCATTCTCCAAAACATCCTTATTTTACAGCCCTTGGTTCACAACTGGGCCATCCACAGCATTTGACTGCTTATTAATAATGGATTTGAGGGACTGTGTAAGCACCCTCCTGGATCTTAGGAAGGGATAATCTTCCTATAACCTTCAGATGTGCCATTTTTGTGAAGTAAACACCCCTGTTTACTTCACAAAAACGAACAGCAAAAATGGTTTCATGATGCTGTTCTCAATCAAAAATCACAGTAAGAAGGCACCTAGCTCAGCTGATGAACAGAATTCCATCGGCAATGATATTTAATATTTGTATGTCAAGCTTTATAAATGTGGTATGTCCCACTGGAACACACACAAGATTTAAACTAGATCTAAGACTCAGAAGCACAGTAGCACCTCACACTGTGATGCTTGGCCAATGCCAAAATTTATTTCCAGCTCTGTTGTACTGCCTCGGAACGTGTATCTTCCAAACTTCACCCTGAAGCTGCAATTTGAAACCCCCACTCCATTTTATACAAAAGTAACTATTAAAAAGATGTATGCATAAAAACCTTTTCTGTCAGAAGGGACAGGGGCTTTTCCCCGTCCCTTTGACTCTGGTAAAAATGAAGTGTCTGCTGCAATTCTGAGCCGCCTGCCAGCCAAGGAAAAGCTGGGTCGTAGGGAGGGAATTCCGGGCGGCGTGGTTCGCTCTGTGTCCGCGGGTACGAACAGGGGCAGCGCTGGCAACATTGCGGGGAGATGTGGAGGGTAAGAGGGTCACAGAATCACAGGGTCACAGACTATGGTGAATTGGAAAGGATACGCTGGGGTCATGGAGTCCGACTCCTGTCCCCGCACAGGACACGGAAGAATGACACCATGGGCCTGAAGAGCGTTGTCCAAACGCTTCTTGAGCTCGGTCGGACTCGGTGCAGTGCCCAGTGAAGGCTGCCTGAGGCCGGACACATCTCACTGCATTTTGCTGCGTTTGGGGCTGTTTCGGGCCGCGCGGGGCGCAGGCAGCCGCAGCCCCGCCCCGCTCTCGGCGAGCGGCAGCGCTGCCTGCCTCCCGCGGCCGGCGCTCGACGCGCGCTGCCTGGCGCCGCCCGGGCCGCCGCCGCCATGGCCACGGAGGACGAGATCATCCGCATCGCCAAGAAGATGGACAAGATGGTGCAGAAGAAGAACGCGGTGAGCGCCGGGACGGGACGGGGCGGGAGGCGGATCGGCGGCGGCGGCGCCGCGGGCCCCGGCGCGGCCCTGGCCGGCGCCGCGCTCCCTCCTTCCCGCGGGCGCGGGGCCTGTCCCTTCCCGCCGCCGCGCTGCCCGCGCTGCCCGGCGGCCTCGGCGCTTCCCTCGGCGCCCCGCGGGGCCGCAGCGCCTCCTCCGGCCCCGCCAGAGGAGGGGGCACGGCAGCCGGTCGTGCTCCCCCGCGGGGCGGCCCCGCCGCCCTCGCCGCAGCGCCTTGGGCCGAGAGGAGGTTCCCGCCCGGGCACCGGCCCTGGCTGGGAGCGGCTGCGCCCTCGCTTCCTGCCCGCTGGAACCGCGGTGCTGCCTTGGCGGGGAAGGGAATTCTGTCACCCCCTGGAACCCTGCGGAGATGGCCCCCTGTGCATGGGCTGTTGTCGCTTTTAGCGTGAGAGCTGGAGTTCTGGGTGGGATGTAAAAACTCAGATGTGAGTGAAGAGCCCAAACCCAGCTGCGGCAGGGCCAGAGTTGAGCGGGTAAACTTCACAAACAGATGAAGAATGTAAGCCTTTTTTCCTCCCTTTTTTCCCCTTTTCTTTTTAACCTGCAACACTTCTAATTGTGTTTATTAATCTGGAGAATAACTCGTGCCTCAGAACGGATGAAGAATGTAGTTAGGCAGGATTCAATTGGCTTAGCTGAAGTGTTATTGTCATGTATGCCCTTCATAAAGAACTGAGGTAACATATGGTGGTTGTACAGTGCCTGCAAACACATCAAAGTAAGTAAAATCAGAGTGTAGAGCAACAACCAGACAACTGATCCTGGTTATACATAAAATAGCATGCAAGTAAGTTGCCAACTTTGTTTACTATTTCTTTAACAGGTGGGCACATTGTTATTCTCTGGAAATTTGTGCTTGTATATGTGATTGTTGTTCTTCCTGCAAGAAACTATTGTATACATAACATTAAAAGGTTTTTTCCTAAATGTAATGATAGTGCATTAAAAGCTTAGTAACAGTAATAGTTGAGAACTCAACACTGCAATTCCACTTTATAGAAGTAGTTTTGTTATTGCTTAACACTGGAGAGTATAAAGAGCATTATTAATAATATTTGCATATTTATGGAAATACTGACTGTATTAAACCAAGGAGATTTGTTTAGTTCAGAATACAAACAAATTCATTGTAAGTACACACAAGCCATGCTTCAATCTGTGATGTTCCATAATATGGCATGGTTTAACTCTGATATATTTGAACTCTCAAATGATACATTGTGGCAGCAAGACCCTTGTCTAGAAGAAAGAATGTTTTATGACTGGCATTTATTAATTCCATTATTTTTCCCTCTTTATTTTTATTTCTGTTCTCCATGCATTTAAGCACAAAAGCATTTGCTGTCTCACTTTCTCTAAAACTGAAGTAGTGGCTCTTTCCTACAAGGTGTTGAAAGGGTGAAGACTTACTGCCTGAAATGCTTTAATATCATGGTCACGGGACTGATAAAGGGCAGCCAGCTCCATTTTATTTGTAAAACTTCTGATAACAGAAAGAAAATGACCTCTCACAGGTAGCATGAAAATGACTGTTGTTCCTGGGGAGCAGCCATACCAGGGATGCTGCAGGTGACCACAGGGTATTTCTTTGTGATCTGGGAGGCTTAGGAGTTTGGATGAAATTCCTAACAGCAGCTGGGAACATGTATTTACTCTCTAGCACGTGTAACATGATTAACTTTCAGAGCTCTGGGGAGCGCTGCGGTGACACTGGGGTCAGCGTAGGTGTGACGTGGCTGAGCACAGCTGGCACAGCTGGGCCGGGCTGTTCCTGGCTGGAGCCAGAGCTGGAGCTTGGCGTTCACCTCTGTCCAGCTGTGGGAGCGAGGGAGCACCGGAGGCGTTGGGCTTTAGTGCTGTGTTGGAACCGAGCTCCTTCAGTCAGGCTCCTTGCTGCACACGAGCGGCTCCTTTGTTGGGCTGATGTTTTCTCAATGAGCTGCACTGTGGCCAGGAGTGGGGATCTGACAGTTTGTCCAAAGCACGTGTGTGTGGCATGATAAAAACCCTTAGCGGCATCATCAAAGGAGAGGATGTGCTTTAGTATTCAAACTAGGAGATGCCTCTGTTTTTCTAAGTCTTTGTCATTTACAAGGTATTTCTTTATTGCACAAAGTGATTTCCTACCTAATTCTGCCCTGTAGTTAAAATGCTAACTTTAGCAAAATTATTAAGGTCGCCTCTATGAAGAGGTACTTTATTCTCTCACAAAGATGAAGGAGAATTGATAAATGCATTCTTACACAAGTACCCACTGAATAATGATACTCTTGACAGCCCCTTGTGTCCCTTTCTCCATTTTTACTCATCAAGAACAGGTATTTGGTCTGTGTCTTTGAATGAGAATGATTTGATGAGACACATTAATAATAAAAGAAAGAAAAAAAAGCTTTGATACTTGCTCTCTCTGAAGCTGTCAAGAGTCAGATGACAAGAAATGTTTGATCTCTCATACAGAAGGTGACTCTGGCTTGTGGCAAAGCACTCTGTGACATGTCTTTTGATGAGTTAAAAGGGCAGGCCATGCAGACACTCTTTCTGAGTCAGACTCTTGGTGATTTGCCTTGACTAAGGATTTAATTGTAGCAGTGCACATTTCATAACTATTTTAGTGGAATGATATGTGCAGTTCTTTTGTTTTGAAGGAGGAAATAAAATGATTTAGTATTTAATGCACTGTACCATATGCATTTCTACCATTGCTTCAAATTGAAATAGATACTACTCCTTCAGAACTGATTGGATTAAAACCTGTAGTGCCTTCCTTTGAGCTTCTGTTGTATGTAAGTACACCTTTCTTTCATTAAGCTGCTTAATGAATAGCTAATAAAACTAAGGCTGCACCCATGGATTAAAAAAAAAAAATCAAGAATGCTTGAGTAAATTTAGAGAAGAAAATAAAATTGTCTGTGTTATTAAATGTATACTCCTTTAAGTAGAAGAAAATTATGACTGGATAGCTCTGCTGTCTTCAAAAATGTGCTTCATTTTCTATTGCCTGAAGCTCAGCTTTTAAAACATGACTATAGAATACCATTCTGTGCTGTTGTGGTCTGACCAACTGAAAGAAGCTGAGAGGAGTAATCTACTGAGTCTGAATCTACTGATTTCTGTTAAGTGACAAGGTAAATTGAAAGCCAGCCAGCTTAGGAGAATGGGACATAGCCTTTCATTTTCTATAAAATTATAGAAATACCTTTAAAAGATGGTTTATAACAATGGTCTTAATGATTGGGGGGTTTTTTGAACACAGAGGTCTTACAGAAAAGTAATTACAAGTTATGCTGTGCAACTTCCACACTAGTTTTGAGATACAGAGAGCATTTTACTTTATGCTAAGAAAAGTGATTATGCAAAGCTATTTAGTTTAAAACCAATTTAAATTAAATTTTAAAGCATCTAATTCATGGTGCACGGTATAATTGGTTAGAGAAGTGAAGGCTTAGAAAGGATTAGTGCATTATCAATTTTGGTAATTTGGTACAGAAACCGGCATAAAGTATAGATAACATCTGTTAAACTGCTGGTTTTTGGTTGGATTTGACTTTTTTGTTTGTGGAGGTTTTGGTGGGGTTTTTTTTGTTCTTGTTTGTTTGCTTGGTTTTTTGTTTGTTTTCTGTTTTTGTTTTTTTTTAATTTGCTGCATGTCAACTTGCTATGTATCAAGTTGCTAGTATTAGAAAACATTTACTCTGGGAATAATAAATTTGTTTTCACACGTGCAGTTAGGAAGGGATATAACAGGCAAAGGAATTTTGACTAGGCTGTATTTCTAAGATGAAGAGAATGCTACTTTGCATTACAGTGATACTTTCATATTGAATTTGCAGACTATAATCAGCTGTGTTAATTTTAAAATTACATGCTGTGTACAGTGTGCTAATAACTTAATTAGTTTGGAGGTAAGTTTTATTGGATTATATTTTTTGAAATGGCACATTGACTTCTGTCATGAGTTTTGTTTTGGCTAAGAAAATGTTCTTGAATTTGATTTTGTTTTATAGCAGTGAAGATAATTAATTTTGCTTTATTTGGATCTGTGTTTGTACAGAAGAAACCACGCTTATGGCTGTTGAGAGAAAGATATGGTTTAGTATGCCAACTCAATTTAGCATCTGAAAACTTTGTGACATTTCTCAGTCCTGCATCATTGCTGCTAAAATTCTGTGGTTAAGACTGGAGAAGTTTTGTATAACATGAATAAAAGTTAAATGGAACTTTTACTATCATAGCAAAATACTAAAACTTTACCTTTATATGTTAATTGTATTTATGTGAGGTGGGATTTGGTGAAATGTTTGGGTTTGGAGGTTTTTTTGGTCAGAAGTGTGAAAAACAAAGGTTGTAGCCAACATTTGAAGGTGTCCAAAGCTGAGGGTTTTTAAATGTGGCACTGAAGTTCCACTTCCATCTTTCTCAACCTCCTGGTGGCTATTTTATCTTTAGTGGTTAAAGTGTAAGACTGCAGTTGCAGCAGAATATTTTAAGTTTCCTTGCAACAGGTGTTACAATAGAAGTTGATTAGGGAGAATTTGAAAAGCGAGCAAAATGCAAAATAAAATAGGATGAGTTAAGAGGTAAGGAAAGAAGAGTGAATTAAATTCCACAGATGTGCAAATGGAAATTTTGTGGGATTTATTTCCAAACCTTATGAATTAGAAAAAAAAAAAAAGAAAAGAAAAGGTAATGAACTGAGCGTGAGTGCACTGAAGGGCCTCTTGGATGCACAGGCAGTTGTTGCCTCCCTTGTGTTCATAGCTTCCAGGTTCAGCCCCACGTGCACTTGAATAACAGCCAGATCATCTCAGCCTTTGGGAGGTTTGTGTGGGCTGACAGCCCATGTGCACAGTCAGAAGTGGATGGTGCAGAGCTTTGCTGAAGTAGAGTTGGTAAATCATCAAGGTTGGAGAGGTTAAAGAGAATTACAGAGCTCACATTTATGCAAACTTTTTTAAAGTAAGGCCTATATTGCTAAAGAATGAATTGTTAAAGTAGCTGGGTATAGACTTTGTTAACATCTAATAGTGCAATCTCTGAACTTGAATCATCTATCTAGAGAGCTGCTAACACAGAAGTAGTTAGTACCTTTCCTAACAGTCTTGGCCGGGGAAAAAGAGAAACCCACGATGTGTGGCTTTACCACATCACCACAAATACAGTTAGGAATGATGTCTGTGTATGTTTTTATATATATGATATTATTGATGGACTGGGCAGAGCTTCTCAGCTCAAAGTTCTTGCGTGCTAAAACTGATGTGGTTGTTCTGAACTGAAAATTGCTGCTGTTGTCTGGATTGTTTCTGATGCTGTTAAGCAAAGCACCCTTGAAGATTGGTTAAGTAGTAATTGACAGAATGCTTTGATTGTCATTTGAGTTACATGGGGTAAAACTCCCCTAGTCTTGAGTGAATGCTTTGATTTCCAAGTTAAGGCCTGTTAATGCTTAGAGTTTGTGAAGTAGACCATTCCTTATTCTAGTTCTGTGGATAAATTGAGAACTCCTGGTTTGAACCCAGTGTGGGACCCTGAAGGCAGACAAGATTATATTATTGATATTTTATTTGGAGTTCCTGATTGCCACTAAGTTGACTCTTTTATTTTCTTTCTTTTTTTTAGGCTGGAGCTCTTGATTTGTTGAAGGAGCTTAAGAATATTCCCATGACCCTTGAGTTACTACAGGTATGAGTTTCTTATTGTTGTTGTGTTGCAAATGTTAATTCCCTAATGAAGAAAGTGGAGCCAGCAGATTTGAAAGGAGGTTACATTATTTAAATAGATTCCTAAGTTCAAAGTCCTTGGAAGCATCAGTTTTGTTACATGGTAATATAGCCTCACTTCACCTGATGTAGCACACTTATCTTAAGTATTTTCTTCCAGTAGAAAACTCTTAAAGCTTATCTTTCTGATTAAGTTGAGAGTTGTAAATTTTGTCATGGACAAGGGAGAAGAGCTGCTTACAAATTTATCAGACATGGAATTTTACCAGACATTTTCACTCTTAACACAAATGAGTGTGTTTCCTTCCTCTTGAAGGAGAATGCACCTGATTATATCTGATACCATCTTTTCTTATGTAGTTAGTTCTGGTTTTGTCTTGTAAGTAAGGAGAAACATAGTTGATACCTTTTAGGCAAGTTGTACTTTCACACACTCCGTGTTCCCCCTCCCTCGTTCTGAGTAATGTATTTCTTAAGGTAATTATACTCCTCTTTTACTCTCCTGGGCTGAAGTGATGGAGGGGTACAATCTCTCCCACTTGCATGGATACTCTCACTAATGTTGCTTAGATTGACATATTTAACAATATTTTATATATTATTTGTAAATTCTTTCAAAAAATAAACTTGGTCATCTTTAGTTACATGTCAAGTTTCAGAGCTTTTCATGTAATTCATCAGTGAGCAACTTTTGTTCCAAACTAGCCAATCATTCCCTATCTGTGAAAATTTTAAAATTTCAGTTAAATCTGAGACCTGATTTGCTGCAGTAGCCACTTAAATTGGAGGAGACTGAAAAGGGTCATGAGTGTGCCAGTGTCAGGAAGGGTGATGATCATGAGATAGTGGAGGCACTATCTTCCTCTGTGCAGATCAAGACTTCTGACAATTGTGTTTGAATTGATGAAATGAAGAATAAAAGTGAAAAGTGTACTTCCATACCCATTTTTAAGAAGCTTTGAAAGCTGGCTACATTGAGAAAAGCTCTGCTAGCTCTGTTATTCCTGTGTAATAAGAGAAGTGATGATTTTTTGTGTAATACCACTGCTACCTCAGCCTGAAATAATGAGGTCCTCTGATGAGTTTCACAGGTATGTGCAATAGGAAGGTGCATATTAGTAGTCTGGACTTGTAGTGGTGTCTTTTGTCTTTCTTGCCACACTTATTTTCACAGAAAGCTGAAGTGATTACAGGCAATAATACCACTGTGTCACATCTGATGAGTTTTATGTAAGCAAGCTGATCCTTGCTCAGCTAGGCAGGGAGCCAGTAGGCTCCCTCACACAGTTTATCCAGTGGTCTGACTTGCAAATCTGTTTAGCAGCTTCAGAGCATTAAAGGCATCGTGTCCCTGGTGCTAATTGTGGTTAGTGCAGAGCTAAACAGTGAGTGACACAGTCAGGCTTTATTTTCACCAACAGGTTTTACAGGAAGTTACACACACCTGTGCAGAACTAGGCTGTGATGTGCAGCCCTTGTTAATGGCTTTAGGGCAGCTCACTGGCAAGAAACCCAGGGGTGGTTATTCTTCAGTGGTTGGTTTGGCTCTGCTTTGGTCTGAGTGCTCAGCAGTTCTCTATCCTCACACACAGTTTAAAGTTGGAAGCAGGTCTGCTTCCTTTGGTGGTTGCTCTCCCTCCCCAGCTGTGTTCCTTAAATTTTTGCATTTGTTGTGGTTTAGAGAGCACCCGCTGCCCCCATGTGCTCTGCTTTGTGTTCAGTCATAGGTTACTTGTGCTCACTACTGCTTGCACCTACTGAGGGCTGCTAGCCAAAGCTTCAGTGCTTCAGGGTGAAAACAGCTGTCTTATGCTGTCTTTGACTGTCTTTACTCTGAAAGCAGATGAAAAGTGCTCTAGAATTTAAAGTGGGGAAGAATGAAAATACTGGAGTTTTTCACTTAACAGTGGCAACAGACAGGACGACTAAGGAAATTTCAAATACTGTCAGCTGGTTTTGGTTTGTCACTAAAACATAGTAATTTTGAGAATATAACATAATATAATATGATCTTTTGTGACTATCTGTGCCAGTTGGAAGGCAGATAAATTTGTAGATCATTACTTCCTCTCTTCAGGTAGACCCAATCCAGTGCTCTATAAAAGCAAACAAATGAGTTGTTTTTATGTGCTGCTTTGAGAAAGCTGGCAGTTCAAAAAGGTCCCATAAACTGTCCCTCTTGTGTGATCAGAAGAAGAAATTTTCTTATTAGCTCAGGGTTTTGCTTGAGTTTTTGGATTTTACTTAGCTAAGTCTGTAAGTTTGTGTGTTTTCCCTTTGCTGATGAGCATAGGCTGTCGTTGTGCCCAGCTATTAATAGAGGGTTGGGTTTTTTAGTAGATATATTTTTCTTATCCAGATGTGGTGTTTTATGGATTTTCAAGGACATGTTATTTTTTTACTGTCTGAACATATTGTTGAGATTTAAGTGGTCAAAATATCAAGAAAATGGGCAGTACCATTAATGTGGGTGAGCAGAGTCCATCTTGGAGCATTTTAGTTACAGGTGAGTAACCCTTTGTTTTCTTTAATTCAAAATGCATATTTAGAGCTGATGCTTAGGCCTGAGGTTATTTAATGTGTTTCCTTGGCTGAAATAGCTATGGATTATTTCAGTATGTTTCCAGTCATTTAGCACATCCATGGTGCCTCAAAAAGTGTTGTTTGTGTTGTAAGAAGTAATTTACAGGAACAAATAATTTCCATTTTTAGCAAGCCACAAAGATTTAAATTTTCTTTTTAAGAAGAAGTAAGTTAATGATGATCTACTGCAAAAGTGAGTAGAGTAATTTATATTTAGTGAGTCCTGTAAATGGCAATGCAACAAAACTGAACATCTTAACAGCAAATAAAAAAAAATTAGTCATCATCTTATACAAAAAGATAAGAATTTAACAATATAAATAAGGATTTTATTATCTCCTCTAGTGAAGCTAAAAAGGTGGAAATTTTCTCCTTGTTACATGTACACATTAGCCATAAATCTTCTAAAATGTTACTGTTGAGCTATATTTATGTCCTTATCTTCTGAGTCTTGAAAGGCATGAATTGTAACTTACTCTCATGATCGCTCTGTAGGTGGCAGTAGTGGCAAAGGCTTAAAGCTGTCACTCTCTTGGCTTTTTCAGAAATACAGGATAGCTCATTCTTTAAAATCTTTAACATAGAGAGTGCTGCTTCTGTCTAAAGTCAGAACTCTCTGTGCTAATGATTCTAAACAATCTCAGTGTCACCAAAATTTTTAGGTACCTAAACCATGCTTGCTCCCAGCTGGGTATTACAGCTTTTTACACAGCCACTAAATGGGAATTCTGAGAGTGTGATGTCAATGAAGAAGTCAGCAAGCTTCTTATAGTGCTGAAATATAACTACAGTCCTTAACCCTTGTGCCCACAATCACTGCCCACCCTTCCCCAAATTTTTGTGATGAAGACAGATGGTAATACTGTTGTATTTCTTTTTAAAATATCCATGTTATTGAAATAATTTTTCTAAAGGCTTGCAGTATTTTGTCCTGAGAATCACAGGAAAAAAGGAAAAAAACCCACCACAAAAGAAAAAGAAAAAAGATACTGCAAAAATTAATGTCAAAGTACAAATTTATCTATATTTATTTGTTAAATTGTTTTCCTGTCACTTGTGATAATGTATATTTCCATTTCTTTTGCAGTCTACCAGAATTGGAATGTCAGTGAATGCAATACGCAAGCAAAGCACAGATGAAGAGGTTACATCTTTAGCAAAATCTCTTATCAAGTCTTGGAAGAAGCTGTTAGGTATGGCAACAGAAACATCCCTGCTCTTGCATGTTTTAACTCTGTGCAGCCTTGGTGCTCATCATTGGCACTGCCTTGCTTTAGACATATTCGTGCCTTTGTGTGAATGTTGAAACTTCCTGTGCTGGTGTAATTGGTTTTTTAGTCTTTGACTGTCCCCAGGCCATTACTGTGAGAGTGTGTGCAGAGAAACAGTTAATGTATTTTATTGGGGCTGGCAGGCAGCAGGAAATCAGCTTCTCTGATGTGATTAATTTCTGAATTCTCATTGCCTGCAGTTGAGCTGGAGTGCCTGTATTGCGCACTGAGCACTAACAAACTTCTTGACTATTTTATTCATCAAATATAACAAGTACTCTGAAGAACTGGTGCAAAATCTCATGTGAGAGTGTGGAGGCTTTGATGTTTGGTTATGAAGAGAAAAAGACATTAAAATGTTAAAATCTCTTAGAACTTACAGGTAGTGAGAAACAGAGCTGCACTTTCTAAAACTAAAACCTTAATGATTTTAAACAGCTTACTAATTAGAAACTTAACGCTTTTTGTTTAATTTCCCTTAAAGCAATTAATAAGCTTAAAACCTTTCTGTTAGGGTTTTATTCAAGAGTATTTGGTAGTACTTAATATATCTGAAAACACTTAAATCTCAGAATTTGTCCAGATATTTTTGTTCATACACTGTGGTGCACTCTGCTTTGTTTCTTTGTATGTAAGCTTAGGTAAGTTAAGATTTTTGAAGCTTAAAATTTTAAAACAGAAAAGAATTTATGTCATGATTTATATATTTACCATTCTGTCTGGAAAAATATGCCAAATACCAGGAGAGTGTAATTCCCCTACCATTGGAACTCAGCTTCATTTTTATCAGTTGTGAAGTGTTTTATCAGATACATTATTCCTGTCTTGTAAATGATATAGAAAATACTCTGGCTTTCTAGAAATGGACAAATGACAATTGTCAGAACCTTAAACTTTGATGCTCTAGTAAGAAAAAACAGTCTCTACAGCAAACTTTTTAAAGCTACCTTAAAGACTTTTAACCTACCTAATAATAATGTTAGTTTTAGTAGTTAAAATTGGATAATACTCTATATGCTGATAAAACACCTTAAAATTCATTATGACTTTAATAATAAAAGTAAATGCATATACAGGATCTTAGTGTAGGATCTGATCAGAGATTACTGGTAAATAGTGAAAGTAATATACTTTTTATTTTTAAAATTAAATGTGGAAGTCCAGCTTTATTAAATCAGTATATAAAAGCAGTAAGGTATATAAGTGGAGAAATTGACTTGTATATTAGCATCAGTTACTCTAAAGACTTCTAAAAGTAGCTGCTGGATTGAGTGATTTAACGTCTCAAGTTATTTAAAGTTGTTAGTCTAAGTTTTAAAAACAAAACTCTATCAATATTTGGTGAAAGTTAATTTTTTTCTTCGAAGTTCAGATTTTTAAAGCTGCCACTTAGCTTAGACAGCATAGTAGAGGAGATAGTCTCATTTCCAGCAGAATTCTCACTGGGAGTGTGCTCAGATGCTGCTCTCTTGGAGAGTGGGAGATCTCCCTGATTATTCCTGTCTGTCCTTTGACTAAACGATTTACCATTTTTTTGTTGAGACACTAAAAATAATTGTCTCATTTTTTTTAGCACTTTAAGTCAGTTCTTTAAGTCAGTCAAAATTGTCTTAATACATTGTTACTTAAAGTTTACTGGTGTTCAAACATTGTGAAACTTGGGCAGTGTCACTCCTGCCTGGAGGGTTTCCATGCCGGAGTAGTCTGGGTAAGAATGTGATGCCTGAAGGTCACAGCAGGTCAGTCTGGGTGTAGGCTGCTGTGCAAAGGAGAGCTCCTGACTTCCCTTCTGCCTCTTTGCTCCCTTCTGTGTTGCAACTAGTGCTGGAGTGGCTCTCCAGAAGACCAGAGCTGGGAACTGACCAGTTGGAAACTAATTGTTTTGTTCATTTCTTCAAGCTTGAAATTTCAGCTATGACTTTTTGGTCCAGCCTGTTTGCAGTTGCTGCGTCCTGCACAGGGATTGTAGCAGTAACAAACAGCTGGGGCAAGTGGACCTTCCCCTTTTGTAGCTTACTAGATTCAGATTGTTTTAACACAGTTGGGAGACTCTAACTAAGGCATTTTGCATGAGGTGAAGTCAAACATGTGAGGAGCTGGAAAGCAAATAAGAAATATTTGGCATTTATCAGAGCTGAGTGTTTCTTGAGGCAGTGGGTATGTGACCTTCTTTCATATGGTAATTTTTGTTACACAGCAGATATTATTGTGTGTCATTATTGTGCCAGCTCTAGTATAATTGTGGTAATGCACTTACTACATAAAAACAAGTGAATCCTGCAAATACAGCACTGCTTACATTCAAAACTTTGGTCATTAATTTTTCCTTGGTTGTAATGTCGATCTTATAATAAAGCATAGTAAGGCAAATGTTTTGCCTTTTTTATCATTGCTCGGTAACTCATTAGAACATAAAGTTTCATAACTGTGAAAGATAGGGTATAAGTATGGGTGGGAATCTTACAAAGTACTCTTATTCTGTTTTATCATTAGTTTTGACTTTCTTGGAAGAATGCGCAATACCGTATGTTGAGCTGCTTGAGAAATCAGTTTCGATTATGCTGTTTATAGTGCATGTAAAATGGTATGGAGCAAAGATGGCAGCAGAAGCGGACAGCTGTTAATCGTACCAAGCATTGTACTCAGAGCTCTGAAGTCTTTGTGAGTTATTTTTATAAATGACATTTTGAATTTAGGCAAGAATTGTTCACTGTTCAGGCTGCATGTAATGTTTCAGTTCAATGCTATCAGAATTTAGTTTTTAGGAGTGCATGGGATACATGAGTACAAATCAAAGTGAGTTGTGAATCACCAGATCTTTGTGGCTTGACTTGAGCCTTCCCAGATTTTTTTCTCCAAGCGTTTTTTGGAGGGTTCAGAAGCTGGGCAGCAGAGGGCTTGTAACCATCTGAAGTGACTCACTGGATGAGCCACAGTGCAAGGTCTCTTTCAGATACTTTCTGAAAGTTAAACTATACTGCAGAGATGGTGACAATTTGCATAAGTAGCTAAATTCAGCTCTCAGAATAAAATGCTGCTCAGTTATAATATGGGATTTACCAATAATGATTGTTTTGCCAAGTAGGTGAATATACAGAGAGTATGCTGTGCAGATAATGAATCTATGCACAGGGAATATATAGAGTATGCTGTGCAGATAATGAATCTATGCACACTCATTTAGGTTGTCAGGAGTGTTTCTTATGTTAGAAAAGCAACAAAAATTCCTTAAGGAGTATAACCCTCATAATAAATAATTGCTTGCTGAAATGAAGAGTATACTGTGAAAAAGAATGTCTAGACCTGTAGGTAAATTTCCTCCAGTAACTTTATATACTGAACTGAAAATGCAGAAGCATGGCACAGTATTCTTAACATCACGTGATAATCTGTTGCCAGTATTGAAAACTTAAAGGGAGGCCACAAACATTTTGAAATGCCTGTTTCAAAGAAGGGCATGTCTGAATAATTTTATTTTAAAAGAGTGTTTAAGTGTTAATAACACCATCAGGCATCATGGAAGTATTTTACTAAGATTACTTTGCTCACAAAATCCTTTGTTATTTCAAACCTGGATTTGATTCTCCTGGAGCCAGCAGGTGCAGTCTAGGACTATTTTACAGATATGTTAATGCTGTCATAAGTGTTGTTCAAGGACATCTCAAAGCCTACTGGCTATGCTCAAAAAAAAAAAATGTTCCCGGCAAAGCAAGTTCTTAAATTAGAGTCTAATAGCATTTACAAATATTATATTTACTTTTGATAAGAAGAGTACATGTCTTTATAAGACATCAAGCAGAATCAAGTACAAAAACAATTTCAATAGTTTCATTTTCATATCTATTGTAAGCTGTAGAAATCACCTCTTGTGAATTGTATATTTGGAACTGTTCATGTACTGTTAGTAGATTTTTAATTTGTTAAGCTAATAAATGGAGAGATAACAACACACAATGCATTATAGAAGAAAAACACACAGTGAATATGTCCATGTGTCATGGTCTTTTGACACTGATGATAAAAAAATCTTTAGCAAACGGTTCATAATTTTGTTGTTTATTTATGGACTTCTAGATATTCCTCCTTCCAGAGCTACTACTGAAAAGAGACTTTTACTGATCTTATCTTCATGCCTTGCTACGTCTTGTAGAGGAATTGCTGACAAGTGTAGCTGCTTGTGCATCTCAAGATTATTTGGTCAGAATCTGGAAAATGGAGCCTAAATAATTATTGCATGTCAAGGTCATTGTTGAATTAATAATTATGTAATTTGGTACCTGTTCTCTTATCTCTTTCTTTTCACTTATTTAAACTGAGTTCTCAGAAAAATTTCCAAGTTCTGGTAGTGATTCCTGAGTAGGCAACACACGCTATCCCGCTAAATTAAATTTTCATGTGCTTCCAGGTAATAACTAGCCCCCTTTCATTAATGTTTCTGGGGAAATTTTTTACTTTAATATTTTTCTTAATCTGAAGTTAGATTTATAAATGAATAACATTTCATCTTTATATTTTCTGGTTTTTTCTTTTTACTAGCAAATGTCTAGTGTTGGCTCGTAACATAGAAAAATCTAGGAGAAAGCTATTAATGGCTTCTAACATTCAGATTAATTATGTTATCTGGCTGTATTTTTAAAATTTCTGGTTTGATAACACAAACACTGTTATGTCTTATTTGACCCTGGAGAGATTTTTCACTGGAGAAGCTTCAGATATCTTTCAAATTAGTTACAAGTCCCAGGTAGAAACTGCAGTGCCATTGTTAAACTTTGAATGTCTTATTCCAATGACTAATAGTCTATTCTTGTTACTATCACGTTCTTTGTATTTTAAAGAAGAAGTATTAATATAAATTAGCTTCTCTTATAAAAAACCAAAGCTTTGAGATTTTTTATGGGTGCCTGAAGATGCGGTAGCTAAAACTGCAAAGTTACATTTTTCAGTCCTAAAATTGGTGACAATTCCCACTTGTTTCTGAAGACAAATTTGGCGAGTTTGAATAGCTGTATGGAGTTGCAAAAAGGAACTGCACAACTTGTAGTTCGTAGTGTATAAATATTTATAATGTTCTGTAGACTTCCTGAGGTGAATCGCATTGGAATTTTTAAAGACATTTCACAGAAGGGCCATTTTTTTCCACCTTACTTTGTTAAAGTTTCTGTGGTTGTTCATAGTAACCATTAGATGTCATCTTTCCTCTATATTAGAGTCTGGTCATTGAATGTAAAATAAGCTAATTAGTAGGGACTTTTAATTTGTCAGGGATAATTTTTCTATCCCCAGAGGATAGATTAAATGCTGCCTAGCAGGCTGTTAATTGCATTCAGTTCTTTTGTCAATACAGTATTTCAGTAAAACAAGATATCCTCATTACTGTGTGAGTTTAAAGATGGAAAGCATCTCTTCTAGTGCTTTCCAATGTATGAGCCATAAAGTGACTTAAACACTTAGGATAATATTAACTTTATTTTCAGCTTTTTTAAACTAGATTAAGCAAAAACTCTGAAGTGATTAAAGAAGCTCTAGTTTTGAAGACATACTTGCTAAAGATGTCCAGTTTCAGCTGCTCAAGTCTGACCTTGATTTGAGACATCCTTGCATAGACTGCACCTTAGGAGGAGCTGTGCTTTATCTGTGTGCCTTGTGTGCATCCTGCCCTCCATAAGGGAAAGAAGCCATTGGGGTATTGGCAGGTGTTGGCAAGTGCCTGCCCTTGGTGAAATGGTGCTGGGCTAAATGGAAGTGTTTGATAAAAGAGATCTGGGTGCCAGCTATACAACTGTGGTGTGTGTGCATAATAAGCAGGAGATAGATACACAAGTCAGACCTGAATTTGACAACTTGTGTGCCAGAAAAAAATGTGTGGGTAAATGGGCTGAAGCACAGCTCCTGCTTTGCAGGACTTGGGCTGTTCTCCAATATACCTGTTTGATCTACTGGTTTGTCTTAAAGCCTCTGACAAAAATGAACATGTACTTAAAATGTTATGAAGTTAAATAAGATTGTATGCATATTTGGAACATCTTTAAAGATTATATCATGTAATCAGTTGTTGCCATAGAGAGAGCGAGTATGCATGTTAAAAATGGGAGTTGTTTTCTTTCTCTTAGTGCACTTCAGTTGTCATAGCAGAGAGCTCATGTGATCCATTCAGTTTATAGTCTTGTTTGCTTTCTTAGTGAAATTCTTTTTATAAACAGAAGCTGTTAAATTGGTCTCTTTATTAGGATTTTTTAAGTAGCATTTTCAGCTTATTAAAGACGATCACCGAGTGCATCATCTGTGTTTAATTATCTTTTTTTTTCCTAAGTGAAATTTCTCACAGATTGAATACAACATTGCAAACAATGGGTGAGCTCTTGAAGGCTGGAGAAATACTCTGGAGAAGTATCTGTGTGCACCTCCTTATAGGTGCAGCTGGAGACAGGATAGTAGATTGGTGCCTGGTCTGATCCAGTACTGCTGTCTCTGCTCTCCTTTTATGATGATTTTTTTTAACAAAGTGGTACTTCTTTGGATAAATTCCTTAACTCACAGGTTAAGGAAAGGATCAAAATCATGTTCAGTTTATTGTTCCTATAAAAATAAAGCCAGTACAGTTATTTTCTGCACTATAAAAATCAAATTTAAAAGCTTGATATTGGAAGAGACCCAGATTTGTGTTATGTACAACCAAGTTCCTCTGAGAAGCACAAGGATGGGGGTTCCTCTGGGAATAAGGACACTTTTAGATGCTTAAACAAGGATTTATGTGCTTAGTTCAGGACATCTTTGTTGGCAAGACTGAGCCTTAACAGATTTCCCTCCTTTTCTTGTCCTGTTTTTAATTAATTTTAAAGTTTGTAATATATGCTTATTCCAGTAATACAGTCTACAAATTTAGGAGTGTAATAGCAGCTTTATAAGGGCTGGGGAAAAGGAATTCACGAAATCTGTCAATCAGTGATGCCAATCTCACTAGGCTTTCTCTGTAGGCAGTAGAGAGCCACCCTTTCTAGAGAACAAATCAAAGCAGGCACTCAATTTAGCCACTCTGAAATCCTCTTTACAATGGAAGGGTGTATGCATTTTTGCTGTGCTAGAGTTAAATGTTATGATTGCTCTTTTCTGTAAAGACTTTTGTCCTTTTTCTTTATAAAATTGTAGTGAAACATAACCTGTATAGGAATGGCAGATTCAAATATATTTAAATACTGAGGCAAGTAATCTAAGAGCTATCACATAAAATACTATCTGTGTGTCTGGAAAACTCCTTTGAAAATATGAAAGTGACTTTATATTTTGCCAACTATGGTCTCTTCCACAAAATAATTAAAAAGAATGACATGTATGTAGTAGGAACTTAAGTATATAAAGCATGGAAGACAAATTCCAGAGACTTGATACAATACCTGGGAAGTTACTGTCTACCTAATGCAGGAGTGTTGGAAAAAATAAATCATAAATGTCTATGTTTCCATCATGTCTTCACTGCCAGTTTAAGCAGATGCTGGACTTGACTCAAAGCATCTGAAGTGTTGTCATGTTTTCCATTTCCTGCATTGGGAGGGTGTTGGGAAGTGGAAGGCTGTACTGCAAGAGAAGGTCAAAGCAGAGAGTGGGAGATGATAGCATTTCTAACTGATTCAGGAAAAATCATGGTATTTTATCACTGCTTTAAATCAGTTACTATTTCTGGGTAGAAGAGAGTTTCTCATGTTTTGTATTTCCAGATGGACCTTCAACTGATAAAGATTCTGAAGAAAAGAAGAAGGAGCCTGCATCTTCCTCACAAAACAGCCCTGATGCCAGAGAAGAAAGGTGCTTAATTCTCAATGGCTGTGCAGATAGTCTCACTCAGTATAAATTAACATTAAACTATTTGGTCTGAATTGGTAATGTTAGAGACAGCTGCCGTGTTCTTTTCTGAAAGATAGAGTTGTACAAGAAACAGTGTGTTGTTGGGGAAGTAAACTGTGCTACTGTAGACATGAAAAAACAACCCAACAAACACAGGTCAAGATATGGCCAGACAAGTTTTGTTTATCCATCTGTTGGGTCTGTCAAATACTCTGCCCTCTCTTGGTACTAGCACCCAGCTTTGAGAATTGTAAAACAACTTTCTCTGCTTTGTGGTAATTGCATATGCTTCTTTTGTGTGTTAGCTTTTAAATTTAATAAACATTCTGTACTTTTTTTGGTAAACACAGAGTATGTTACCAGAAAAAGAAGCCTGCATTAATGTCACTGCAGGAGCTAAAAAACATTTACAAAAGAGTATTTGCAAGCCCATTTCTTCTATACATTTCTGACTTCAGTGATCTCTTTTCAGCAGCCATTTTAAAGTTGGAGTTTAACCTCTAACTGTATGTCCAGATGGAAGATGAAAACTTGGTTTACAGTTTGCAAAACTACATAAATTGTGGGGGGTTTTGTGACCATGGCACCCCTTCAGTACAGTAAGCAGATTGAGTGCAAGGCATGCAGAGTGAATGTTGGGGTGATGTATCGTCACTGTTTCTTAAAGGTCTGTGGGAGGAAAAAAGGTTTCATGTTAATGTAAAGAACTGAGAATTAAAGCTTCTGTGCCATATAATGGAATGAAATACCTGCTGTGTCTCTATTGTGTGAAATACCCTAGTGAATAGTCTAAAGACACTTTAAAAATTGTACTGACTCTAGACCTATAAATAACTTTTTTAAAAGGTGACTTGTGTTCTTATTTTGGAATACCATCAAATGGATGTAGCAAAAGACCCGTATTTTGCCCAGAAACAAAGTTATTTGAAGGGGTGAAAAATGAAAAAACATTAATATTGGTTTTCATTTTGCCTTTTTTTAGCAGTTCAAGTAGCAATTCCAGCAGCCGGAAGGAGGAGGGTAGTGCTCCCTCAAATTCTTTCATTCCTTCTTTTCCCCGGGCTCCAAGCACTTCAGACTCTGTACGAGTGAAATGTAGAGAAATGCTCTCTGCAGCTCTCAGAACAGGAGGTGAGTTTTGTAGACTATATTTTCAAGTTTAACTATTTTCTTCCTTTCTATTTCTGTCTTTCCCACTCCACTTTTTCTCCTACCCTGTAGGGAAGAATAAACCCTGTTTGCATTCACTTGTGTGTGTAGACCCATAAACCAGTTCACCCAAGGTGCAACTTTCATGGCATGGGGATGCTTCAAAATGCATTTTTGTTGCTGCTAATTCATGACATTTTGTGGCTCAGTTCATTTGATACATTGCCAACAGGGGATCTTGTTTTCAGGGATGTTATTGCCTCCTTAATGCTTCATTTGAATCTTCTTGTAGAGGCTGCTATTTTTTTTTGTCTCAGTCTTTTTGATGGAGAGGTGTGACTACATGCAAGACTGCCTTACACCAGAGATCCTGGGAACCTTCAGGTTTTAGTTTTTGAAAGCTCTCTTTCTATTTTGATTTATTCTTGACATTTCATTAAGATAGCTTGCAATAATAGAGTCTTGCATTGCTCTTAACCTCATGCCTTTTGGGTATCTGTAAATTCCTTGACTGTTCTGGGATTTTTTTCTTTTTGTCTCTCATATACACTCGGGTGTCTTTAAACTGACAAATTAAATTATTTGCTAGATAAGGAGCAAACGGAAAGCTGGGCTTTTCAGAATTACCTGATTTTTTCTGGTGCATCCTTATCTTTGTCAAAATTATGACCCAGCTCCTGTTTCTCTGTTCTTAGCTTAGTGTAACTTGGCCTAGTGTAAGTAGACTTCTGAATCATCTGTGCTTACTCTCTTTACTCTTTTATTCTTTCTTTTGATTCATAGAAATTCAGGTATAGAGAATAAGCAAGGCTGACTAAAGACCGTAGATTAGTTGTCATCTGGATATATAGTTCATGGACTTCTTTTGGGACCAGACAGTCACATACAGCATCTTAGTATTCATAATTCTATGTAGTCTTCATTTTAAATAGTTTTCCAGAAATCTTTTTTGCTGTGTTGCTTTCTGCAGTGCATGTAAACTGATGATCCATGAGTTTAAAAAATAAGGTTATTTTATTGTTTTATGACCTTTGGTATGAGGTCAAAGGATAAATTGTGTTAGAGTTACTCACTGAAATATAACCATGTTGAAATGAGGCAAACATTATATGCAATTTGTTTTTAAGCTGTTTTGGAAAGGTAGATGTCTTTGTGGGGAAGCATTTTGGTCAAAAACAGTAAACAGTTATCTTGAGACATTTTAGTTCAAGTGTTTTACTGCCTTCAAGACTGCTGTGGTCTATTTCTTCTAATTTATGTCTTTTATGACACATGAAATGCTTTGCATTTAAAAAAAAATCTAATAGGATTGTTTGTTATTTAATTACCATGTTTCTAATGAAATCTTTCTCTTCCATGCATGCAAAACATCTATTTGCTTATTCTTGTATTGTATGGACCAAAACAATTGATTAAACACAATATAAAATGTTTCCATTTTATAATAGTTTGTTCTATGCACAGGCTGTGGAGATGGGAGAGATGCCAAGCCCATTGGAATATTTTAGATTTTTCTGTACAACAATGGATTTGTTCCTATTTGTGCTTGCAACTAGGTACCAGAAGTTTTTTGGTTTTTAAAAGTTTTTGACTCTTTTAAACTTCTTTTCTCCTTCTTTTGCTTACTTGTGTTCTTCCAAGTAATAAATTTTGAAAGGTTAAGTATATAGTAAATTAAAATTATGTATACAACAAGAAGACTCACTGCAAGTGTTTTATAATTTGCTGAGTTTCAGTGTTCTGGAACTGTAGGAATCTCAAGGATATAGAGTCAGGTTGCTGATATTTTATCATTTGTTTTCCTCAGATGATTATATTGCTATTGGTGCTGATGAAGAAGAGCTGGGTTCTCAAATTGAAGAAGATATCCTTTGTTGTATATGTGTGCTCTAGAGTGGGAGTATTTTTGAAAAACACAGTAATTTTCAAATTAATTAACTTGATCTATATATTGAGTGTTTTTATATTTCATATAAAACAAAAGTGGTAACTGGGTTCAACACATCAGTACATAAATTTAGTGTTCAAAAAATCAGCCCAACCTAAATGAGTTGCCTTAAAATATGTGGGAATGCATGTAGGTGAGTGTGTGTGGGTTCTTTTCAGCTCAATATGTTTTCCTTGTAGCAGCAATATTATATCTTACTGAAGCATTCTTACATAAAATGCTGGGCTCTTCTATGCTATTTTAAAATCTTTTCTTGTTAACAGTCTTAATCATTTTCTAGTGTCTTTGTTTAATTTTCTACAAGTTTATTTCTAAATGAATTCTCAAAAGGTGGTTCTGGTACCATTGTTTGAATCATTCCAGAACAGAGGTCTGGGCTTCTTTTTTTAACAAAAAAAATTATGTGAGTGACCTGTCATTGTTTGAATATTTCATTCAGAAATTAATTAATTCTCAGGATGAAATCAAGAAATTGGACATAAAGTTATGGGGGACTTTTCACAATTACAGTTGAGGTCCTGCTACCCAAAAATTCATATTTCACTGACCCTGTACTAAACTATGATTAGGCTTCTGAAGGTTGTGAATTCTGCTGTGTTGAACAGGAAAGTAGCTGTTGGTTGGGGTGGGGGGAGGACTTTATGGACAGTGGAGAAGTGCATTGGTTTAGAGCTTGCCCCCCAGAATGAATCCTTTCTAATGCTCTGTTTTACTTGTTAGTGTTTTACTCTATTTGACTTATCCATGTTTTGTTCCTTAAATCCAAAGCACCTATTTTTCAAGAATTAAAAAATACTGATATGAAATACAAAAATAGGGTACGAAGTAGGATAGCGAATCTCAAGGATGCAAAGAACCCTAACCTAAGGAAAAATGTATTATGTGGAAACATTCCTCCTGACAAATTTGCTAAAATGACAGCAGAGGTAAGTAAAGCACAGGTCTTGAAATATTCCTCTCTTGGGCTTACATCCTGGCCTGTATTTATTAAGCATAAAAGTAATTTGTGTAAGCTGGCGTACTTCTGAACGACTGTGGCTTTTTTGTGGCTTGCAGAATCTGAATTACAGGGCTGTGTTGGGGTAGAGCGCATGAAAGTGTCTTTAAAAGTCAAAATAGATCTAAAAATTCAAATGAAAACTGAGATTTTATGGGAGAGAAAAATGAAAGCACATCTTGTTAAACATCTTTTTTCAGTTCTGTAGTTCTGCTTCTATGCGTTAGATTCTGCCCCCTCAAATGAAAATATAAAGGAGTGTCTTGGAGACTGACAGAAATTAGTTGTGGTCAGCTAATGAAAATTGTGACTAACTTTATTCCAAAAGAAAGTTGTGCTGGGCTTTTTTGGTGGTTGATTTTTTTAACTATAGCTTTACATAAAGGTTAGGCCCAACAGAGGCTGGTGAAAGAATGTGTAAGAAAAGCAAGTTGTACCTTCAGTATGTATTTTGATTTTCTTTGTTCTACATATTTAGAACAAACTTATATTTTGTCCTGTCCAGTGCACATTCTTTGTTTGATTAGTGTTTTGGATTGAAATGTCAAATGCCTAAAACTCACTTAGTGTTAAGATTACTTCTTAACAGTAGTGAAAGAGCATTGGTACAAGATTTTTACATGGGATGGTGAATAAAAATTGTATTGAAGAAAAATGTAACAAATAGGTTTTGCTGTGCACACTTAAGTACTAGACCTTGTGGAGATCTTCTGCACTAAAACTATTTTAAAGAAAAAAGAAAATGGGCAATTCTGAACTCTTTGCTTAGTGTTTAGAAATGAAGTTAATATGATTTTTGGTGACATATGGTAAATTATGGCTCTACTGTATTTATCAGTACAAATATAGAAGTCAAAAAAAAGTAAATTTTTTCCTGTAATAAATGTTTCATAGGTCAATGAGATATTTATCCAAGGATCTAACATAGCATCTTTTTTGCCTCTTTGGAGGACTTCTAAGTCTTCTACCTTGCCTCACTTACATTTCTGAACTTCAGAAGTGTGCATAGAAATGTTTCTAGATGCTTGATGTTGTAACTTGTACTTTTTTTTCCTATCTATGTTAAAAAAGAGAACATTTTAAACTTCTTGTAGCTTCTGTGCTGTGAAATAGCCCAGCTTCAGTCTTGTAAAATTAAAAATGTGTAGAATCACATTGCCCTTCAACAGAGTTGTTGATCATGGATTCTAAATAAAAAATTGTATTGGCTTGCACAGTGGTAACTTGTTTTAAAGCTAAAACCCTCTAGTAAACTCTGTCTGCTCTTTGTCCTTTGTAGGAAATGGCAAGCGATGAGCTGAAGGAAATGCGCAAAAATCTGACCAAAGAAGCTATCAGAGAGCACCAGATGGCTAAAACAGGAGGTACCCAAACTGATCTGTTTACATGTGGCAAGTGCAAAAAGAAGAACTGTACGTACACCCAGGTGCGTGGTTATTCCGACTCTGTTTTCCTTTTTTCAAACCTTAAGTCCTATATAAAGGTTGTCAGAGAAAAAAAAATGGAATTGCAAAATGAACTTCCAGCAAAATGTTGACAAATTACAAAATGTAAAGGTAGCTGGATCTACTTAGTTGTGCTTATGTAAAGCAAGTTTGTTGTATTTATTTGCCAAAAACTTTATGTAGATCCAAGCTGAGTATCTGTATAGACTGAAACTTGAGTTTCTTTGCAATGCTGAGTTCTTGATATTTCTCAATGCATCATATTCATAAGGGTTTTATGTGCAGGAGAGATACTTAGAGGGACTAAGTAGCAGAAAATTATATGTATATGTATGCACATGTATATATATATATATATATATATATATTTAATGTACCATTTGACTAACACAAGACCCTGATTTGCAGTCATTCCTACAACCACAGAAAGGGTGCTTTAATTGGCTTAACTGTGCTTCAGGAAATGTCATTTTCATCATAGGATCAGCTGCATTTATATTTTGTACTGTTCATCAGATGCTTTAAATAGCAAGTTGGTTTTCAGTCAAAAGACTTTTAGGCCTTTGCATTGGTAAATGTATGTGAAGCTCTACTGGCCGTTGTACTTTTAGTGCAGAATCTTCTAGAAATACATGCACAGTTTCAGTGCAGAAATTGGTATTTTAGTGCTACTAAATCTCTCAAAATCCAAGTTTATCATGGCTTTATAGCGAGGCAAAAAGCCCAGTTTCAGTTGATACATAAAGTTAACTTGTATTTTTATGCAAATTTGTTTCCTTAATGTTAAACTTTGATTTAAACAGTTACATTGAACACACACTAACAAAAATTGAAGATACTAATTTTCTTTTTCCGCTCTGGCTCTTGCCTTTGCCAAAGGTTCAAACCCGCAGTGCTGATGAACCCATGACAACGTTTGTTGTCTGTAATGAATGTGGAAACAGATGGAAGGTAAGACTGTTAGACTGCTCTGCATATCTGATAGCAGGCAGCCAGCCTTTGTGCTTAATTTGGGTTTACAGTAAATGTGACAAACCGCTTTCTGTTGACTTTTGGTTACTTCTTAACCCATTAATGATATTACATCTTGAGATTGCAAAGTAGCTTTAAATTAGAAATGTATTTTTGACTGAAGGCATGAGATCTCTCTAGAAGGTTGGTGGCAAAGGGGGAGAGAAGTCAGGACTTAGTCCTTGCAACATTTAGTTACAATACTGCTTTGCCATGGGAAGTGGTGACAAGCTAGTCACTGTTTTTTCTTTCTTCACCCAAAGTTCTTTTAACTGGTTTTAAACCCTACTTTTGTGAGTGTAACAGGCCTTTTTTAGACCTTTTGTTGTTATTGTTTTTTTGGTTTTTTTGCTATTCTGAAAAGAAGAAGCAATAGAAAAGAGAGATGGCTGCTGCTGTATTCCTGTACCAAGATAAGTGTAGGGCAGTGATAACTTAATTGAATCTTTTTTTTAAGTTTGGGAAACAGGAATTTATAAAGCTTCTGAGAAACATTGGTAGTTCAATAAAACAGAGAAAGACTGAAATGAAGGCTTGTAAAATTCACAGTTTAAGGTGTGATGACATGCCATAAGAAGCATGATAACCTCATTCTGTTATTTTTCTATGTTAAGAATGCTGCAGCTCTGCAGGGCCATGCCACGGTGTACGTTAAGATTTCCACATAAAAAAATATTTTATGTGTCTTGGTTTACAAAGCTTATTGCTGAATATTGTTCATATATAGGCTCTGAGATATCTAAAAAATATATATAAAGCTTAGAAATCATTTGATGGAATTGTTTGCAGTAACTGGAAAAGTATATTTGTCCTTAAAACCTTATGTAAGGTTGCAGTTACAGAAGTGTCTGTATACAGATGCCGAAGGAATGGTTAAAATATAAGTGCTTTAATTAGTCATTTCCATATCCTAAGTATGGTGTTGTATTTCTGTTTATTCTTGCAGAGGTTTAGAACTAAGATGTATAAAGATCTCATGAAGCATTATTTTCTTTTGACAGTTCTGTTAGAAGAAGAAATTGTCAAGACATCTGGACCAGTATGAACGAGGATTTTGTAATTAGCTTTAAAAACTAGACTAAGCATTTAGCTTCCTGCAAATGAGAGGGTTTTTTGGTTTTTCTTTTCTTTTTGTTTCAAAGCAGCATACATGCCTCAAGTTAGCCTTTGTTTTGACACAACCATCATTTCCTTAAATGCCTTCCTATAGCTGGTAGTCAGTAGGGTCAGGTTGCTCAACTGTATGGTGAATTTTAAAATATTTTTTCATTTTTATAAGTAAGTTGACATTAAACTTTTACCAGTTAAACATTTTGGTAATTGTCTTGTTTTTTTCTAACTATGTGAATAATGTACTGTATTTTTTGTGGTCTGAAATATACACGCTCCTCCTGTGTGTATTTTGCCTCTCCACATGTGCTCGGTTGTAAGAATGAAATTTATTTCTCTCTGCTGTGTTCACTTTGCTTTGCAAGCAGAAAAGGTATATAAGTTCCTCATAACATTAAGCTCAGTTGTTAACTAATACACAATTTAATTAACTCTTTATTTTGTGTGCTCTTTCTGGACTAGGACTAAATTTGCAGTCATGGGGTTTGAATATTTATTAGTGGAAATGATGACCTCTTTTGCAATGGTTGGTTAAGCTTGTTTATGTAACCAGCTTTGATCAATGCAATATATTTTATTGCCCAAAGCATGTATTTTACCTTCTATCAGCAGGCATTATTTCTAAGAATGTCCTAAAATAGTGGTTAAATCTGATTTGAGTGTTCAGTCTTGCTTAATGTGCTTGACAACCAACTTGGGCTTAGACTTTGTAAATAAGCAAAGGCATTGTGTTGTAGGCTATCCTAATAACACCAGCTAAGCAATTCATTACATTAAACTGGCTGGGGAGATAATACTATACTCCCTTCATTTAAATGGCATTGATTTTGTTCATGAAATGATTTTTTGAAATGTAGGGTATCTGGTGTCCATCATAGACCTGCAAGTGGGAATAAATTATTAAAATTATGATCTTTTCCATATGAGAAATTATATAAATGCTGCATTTTTATAATTTGCTTTTTAGCAGTGCATGTTTAGAATTATTTGCAAATGTGTTTTCAAGAAAAATCATGTCAACATCTTTAGAAGAGATTAAATTCATTTAATCTAATTTTATATTACTTAATTTGTTAGAGTTTGGGGCTGAGGAGGTCTATTTTGGCACTGTATAAATTATTCATGAGGGAATGGGAAGAGTATGCACAGCTCCTGGAAAATAAATTCCTTGAATGTAAAGGAAAACCAACTTTTTCTATGTTGAATGTTTTTTGTGTGATAGTGGCAACTGTAACAAATGAGTTGGAAATAGTATGATGACACTTGAACTTTGGGAGACAAGAACTGTTTGGTTAATACTTGATACAGCAGGCTTTTCCAGTCAGCTTATGCAAGGAAGTGTGGCTTTTCTGCTGAAGGGTAAAAATTATTAAAATAGAAGAAGTTTTGTTGCAGACTATTTTTTTAAGCAGAAAATTGCTTAGCATTTAAAGTTTCTTGAATAGATTTTTATATATAAACATTTTAACTCAACTTATGCTAATGCTTTTTAGAAAATATTTTTTTCTACTAGCAGCATAGGTTAATTTTTAACCTGTATGTAGGTCCATTGGCAGGATTGCTTCCTAAGAGTTACTAAAAGATGTAATTTTTTTTTCAAGTTGTTGAGGACGACAAACAAATTAAAGTTGTTTACTATCAATTAGAGTGCTTTGTTTGGGGACCTTTCTAAAAGAACAAGTCCAAGAACTTATGTTAAAAATGACAGCAAATTGGATGCCAAGTAGACCTAAATTTCCACAGCTGTTCACAGCATACATATGCAGGGCAGGCAGTGGTTGGTTTGCCTAAGCTTCCTCACACTGTGTGTCCTTTAATTTTAGTGTCTGATTGTGACACTTAAAGAAATATCTTTTGAGAAATTGTAATCTTTTGAGTAATTGTTTTTCTCTAGTCACCAGATTATATCTGGACTATATTAAAAGAACCAGAACTGTGGTAGCACTTTCTGTGATGCAGGTGTATCCAAGTGGGAGTTGAAATAAAATGTGATTTCACCTGATGATACCTGAGCAGCAGCCCTCATCCTTCTCTCTTCTGCCCCCATGGTAAAACGAACTGTTTCTTTTGCCCAGTGAAGGATGGAGTGCAACAGCTAGATTCAAAAATGCATCTCGTGCATCTGTTCTCTTCATGCTTTGTTTTGGTTACCCAAATCCAAAAATAAAACTTTCCAGTACTGATCTTTGGATGGACTTCTGTTCAATAGTTGCTGAGTTTTCACTGCTGTCTGAAATTGCCCTCCTGTGTGAAAGAGGATGCAAAGGCTGGGACTGTCTCATTTCTCCATGGCTAGCTTTGTCTACTGGGCTGCAGTTGTGCCATGACTGACCCAGTACTCTGGGGTATTTCATGCACTGAAACATGCCAGCAGAACTGGTGATCACTCTCTCCATCTAAGAATAGCAGGTTTGGTTATTACCTTTATGGACACCTGAATCCTCTCAGATGGAGCAGAGTTGGCCTGCAGTGTAAGGTAGCTTGTACGCAATCTAATAGAAAGAGGAGGCCACATTCCTTCTGAAGTGTGTGTGTGTGTCTTATTTAAGGATCTACTCTTCTGTAAGCAAGGCTAGAGGATCCTGCTGCTCAGAGAACACAACTTCTGGATCCTTCATTAGAAGACATTTTCTCATATATAATACATTTGCTCATATATTCTGTTATCCTGTTCAGGAGAAAGTATGAGTTTTAAACTGTCTTGTACTGAATGGTTCTTTTTGACTATCACTGAGCAGAAGGGAAACATCTGCCCAGTGATCTTGGCTTTTGTGAACCTGAGGAAGGGCCTGGTCTTTATCTGGAGTTCAGGATTCCACTTGTGATCACATACATTAATTTTAAATTGAAACTCACAACCCTTTCCAGGCTGGACAGGACTTAATTCATCAACATGAAGTCTTCATTCTGTAAAATGTGGCTGTATTACCTTTCAAACACATGCCTCTGGAAATAGATCTTGAAATATTAGTTATTCATATAAACAAACCTGAGGAGTTTTACGTCTTTTAGGCACAATTTTTTACAGCTGTATGATAGCTTCTGTTTCACTAGGTCATCACTACTCTTGAATTCTTTTCCCATTTCAAAGAGTTTGGGATTAATTTAGATACAACCTTAGTATAAAAAAATTTTTCATAATGTCATTGAAACAATACTCATACCTTTTATAGCAGAAGACACATGTTCTTAAAAATTGCTTACAGCAGAGTTGTTTAAAAATTACTTAACATTATGATATGATGGCCTTTCTCATCACTTTATCTTTTTTCTGATATCCTTTGTAATCCAAAACTGCTTAAGTACATGATGCTTGTGGGATGGATTTTAATCTAATTTTTTATGGTAGAGCCCTTCAGAATATTTTTTTTCTCCATTTGTGCTGTGCTAATGACTTTGGAATTTAAAGGTCACTGTAAAGCACAGTATGTTGGCTGAAGGAGCCCATGCAATTTTAATAGTGCTTAGCAGGCTGTTAAAAAGAGCAGTCTTTAACAGTGTGCATGTTCTGTGGGAGTTACTGCTTTATGATGTGCAGACATTGAAGGAAGAATGCCAGTGGACTGGAAAGTTGTTACAGCTTAATGATATCCTGCAGTTCAATAAATGCCAAGGCAAACCAACTGTGCTCATTTTCAACCTAGGATAAATTGATTTTGTGATAATTTCTTACATGATTAAATAATGTCTTATGTCAATATGATTATTTTCTTTTGCTACTCATGTAGCTACTTGTCTATGGAAACTTTTCCTCTTCAGTGCACTTTTCTTTTGCCCTGAGAAGTTTATGCACCATGAGCAGGTATATAGCAATGAAATGTAATTAAAAATTGGTTGTCTGTGTGGGTGGGTTTTTGTTTTCATCTTCCCCTTCCCCCCCTCCTTGCCTCCATGCCATTAATTAATCCAGCATTAACCAGCCTCAAAATAACAAGATATTTAAGGGAGTAGGTTGTTTGAGTTTTTAAGAGATATTCTCAGCATGTCTAGGGATCAGTATTCTGCTCCTGGTGGTGGGTATAAGGCTAGGCCTAAAGCACAGCATTAAGATTTGGTAAGATATTTCAGGAAAGAATGCACATTGCAAATGTCAACATATTTGTTATGCAGAAGTAAAATGAAAATTACCTAGAGAATGTTCATTGCTTAGAAGTTGTGGCACATGGAAAATAAGCTTAGAAATTATTACTTTCTTTTTTTAATAATTTAGTGTTAGCCATAAAACTGCCCAAACCAATATAGTTTTTTCTGCCCTTTAACTTCATTACATCTTTTTTTTTTTCATTTCCTTGCAGAATAATAGAATATATAGTTTGATATGGACTATGAGCATTCAGTCTGTCTTCCAGCTTTTAATGAAGTATCTTTGCAGGGAAGAGAGATAACTTAAAAGAAATTAAATCCTCCATTTTGTGAGGTGACATGCTTTGAAGGTTTTTTTTTTGATGTGTACATATGATCTTTCCAACAAGCTGAATTTGACCTAGGTAAACTTCATTTGTCAACTCAGAGATTTAGAGCACTCCTGCCCACTCTGATTAAAACAAGTACAGTATCATCTGTTTGACTTCAGGCTCTTCATGAGTGCTGCCTTTTGAAGATACTTGGTTGGTTTTGTTGAAGTTACTACTTACATTGTAATATTTTATATAAACTGAAATGGTACTGGGAGTGCTCCGGGTGTGTTAAATAGAAATTCAGCTGAGGTAAGCAGCATTGATAGGGAAGCAGTGGTGAACATTAACTGAACTGTCTTTAGTGGTGCATGGTGGGGTTTCCTCTTAACTTACTCACCCAGCACTGTGCTACAGCAGGCAAAAGCACTTTGCTTTGCTCTGTTTTACTTTGTTTACTTTTTTGTGCTGACCTGTTGAATACTGTTTTGTTGTTGGAAGGAGATAATGAAAACTGGTTATAGAATCATAAATGATGTGGGTTGGAAGGTACCTTAATCTTGTGCCATCCCCACTGGCAGGAACACTTTCCTCTAGACCAGGTTGCCCATCTAGCCTGGCTTGAACCAGCCCATAGCATTGATAAATTACCATGTACCAGCTCTTCTCCTGTGGTGCTATGTACTGAAAAAATCAAATCATCATGTGCTTCAAAATGCAGTAAGGGCACAGCATGTCACCTGCCAAATGCATTAAGGAAAAAAAAAAATTGACCTCTTAAATTCTATTTTGCTCTTCCCATTTCTTTTTTTTTTTTTTTTTTTTTTTTTGAGAAAGTTCCCATTTTGTATTTTCCATAGAGCTGGAATTAGGCAAAGAGTAGGTTTTGGAAAGGCTTCAGTACATGAAGCCTGAACTATGTCTGTCCTTTCTGGGGGTATTTTTTAGTGTCTTTCTGTTTCCCATATGTGTTTTTCCAACCTATACGTGTCATTTGGCTCATTTAAATAAATACACAGGGAAAATACAATTCAGTGGAAACCCACTATAAACTCCAGAGTTTAATGTAGTGGAATTGTAGTGAATCACGTGGTTCAAAAGAAATAAGACATTAGAGTAACAGATGTACAGATAGTTTATGTGGATTCAACTTACTTTCTTCTTAGTATTTCCTGTGATTACTGATTTTGAGATATGACCAGGAACTAAGTGTAATGCTTTGGGCATACTGTAAATGAACATAGTTTGTAACTGGATAGAGCTGGTGCTGTATCAGAACACAAGTTCCATCTTCCTGCTTTTATTAAATAAATTGTGTGTATATCTGTAATGGAAACCTTACAAGATCTGTCAGGGAATGGGAGAATTTCATATTTACAAACCCAAGCTGGTTGAAACTGTCATCATCTTGGTAACAAATAGTGAAGGGTTTTACAAACACCTACTGAGGGAAGAGAAAAATATGTGAGAATTCTTGTGCTTTATTTTGGAATCTGAATGCCCAGACTTGTCTTCCTCTGAAATAAATAATTTAATTTTATGAACATCAACAAAGGGAACTTAATGCTTTCAGCAGATTCTAGTACTAAAATAACAATTCTTCAGCAAAAGATTTTTTTTTATAAGCAGCATTATTTCAACCAGTAACTTTCATAAACTTGAGATGGCCATGCCCATTTCCATTAGTGCACCATGTATGCATTAAAGATACCAAAACAAGTGGAGTGTACCTATGCCAGGTGTGATGGCAGTGCCTAGAGTAACACAGTATTGACAGTAATATTTTTACTTTGGTCACAGTGTGGATGGGGCAACTGGTTTCATTTTCAAGAAAATTCTAACACCCCACTTAAAAATCAGTTGTAGTTTCATGCTCAGTTGGTATTTGTACCTCAGACATAAGATATAAATTTGTGTCTGAATTGTCTGCTGTGTTTGAAAAAATACTGCATTTTTTGAACAAGGTTTCTTCTTCATTCTCTTCATTTCCTTTTGCAAAGTAATTCTGAATTTAATCAGAAACTGCACTTAGTTGATTGTGTCAGAGCTTTGTGCGGATTTAAATTCTTCAGTCTGTAGTAAAACTTGCCTGAGTTATTTTCAGGTAAATATCTGATTAATTCTAAATTCCCTGTGGATTTCTGTAGCCCAGAGTCCTGCCTGTTTTAAAATAAATACATTTAAGAAAAAAACTATGCCTCAATGGATTTTTCAGACAAGGACTGAAGCAAGTCCTTATAAATAGCAGAGTTCATAAACCGTGGGTAAGAGTCTCTGTGCATTAAGGTATAAATTTGAAGCTGTGCATCATCAAAGGTGTGTTGTGAGGGTTCCAGCATATTTCGGTTAATAACTTCTCTTACTCTGGAGTCCAGACTGACCTGTGTATTAAAATAGAAAGTCATGTAAATAATAGTGAATAATACAGGTGGGGTCTTATTTTTCTTTCATTGGTTGAAAAAGCCATCTTTTTTAAGCATTTTAGCTGGTGTCCTACAAGACTGTAAAAATTGCTAAATAAACTTCTGCGAAAAATGATTCTGTTAAAATTTGAGTGGAATAATATCTTGAGTATGGGTAATGTCCTCACCAAGGTACCTTATTGGAACAAGGCTGTCTGCAATCCCATTATTACTGAGACCGATGGGTTATTTCCAGACCAACTTCCTGCTCTGTAGTAGAGAGCATTTATAATTTTTTGTGACAGTTCATTTCCTGGAGAGTTGGTGCTGTTGTGAAGAGACTGAGTTTGGAGTAAGAGTATGACGCAGGTGGACAATGTAACCTGGGAAGCTGTTTCTTAATCAAATTGCTGCTAAAAAGCAGAGTGAGTTGATGTCACCCACAGGTAGGGCTATATAATGATTCCATAGAACATACAGTAATGTATTTTTTTTTTTTTCCTGCAGGTCCTATATGTCTGTCGAGAGACATTAGTATTGCAGGAACAGACTGGGTAGATTTAAACTGCAATTTTGCAAGGATGTTGAAAGGTTTCAAATTCTAGCCTGCTTGGCAGGATTATATTCAAACTCTACTGAGGTGTCTTTGAAACTTGACACATTTGCTAACAGCAAAATAGTTTTGAAAATTTTGGGGAAGTAATTGTGTTTGTTCTATGCCATATTTTGTCAGCTGCTCTGTGAGAAATTTGTCTTTGAAAATGACACTATTTGTGGTTACTGTGCTTTTGGAGAAATGTATACACCCTTCTCTGAGTGTAAGGAGAAAAGGAACTGATTTGTCCAACAAATAAAATTTGAGTTGGGCAAGGTGAATGTGATCAGCCATATATTTGTGCCTCAAACTAAAAATTCCACGTCAGCATGCCAGGGTAGCATAGGAAGAGCTTCCTTACAACCAGTGAAAGTTTTGACCATCTCACCTCAATGGTGGGTGCCTTCTTCCCCTAAGTAGCTACATGATGGCAGTGGAATGTGGGGGGCAGGGGAAAATTCTCCCTAAGTATTGCTGTTGCTTTAAACACATGTTAGAACTAACTGTGCAAAGAAACATCAAAGAATGTATTAAGGAAAGCAATATACCTCCTTTGGAGAGAGGATAGAAATATAATCTTCATAAATTAGTCTTGCTTTTTCTTCAATGACACTTTTGTTGGATTCTTGTTTTAGTTCCTCACAGGCCATCCAGAAAAGCATGTTTTCCTCGCTGAATTCTGTTCGCAGAAATTCACGAAAAGCATTTCTGCCAGCTGGAGTGAGCATCAACTTGTCAAATGATTGAGCCCAGGCATTTACTTCTTCAAGAGTGGGAGCAGGGCTTAAGGAGGAAGAAGAGCAAAAGGAGAGAAATGAATGATTGTTACTCAAGCTGTTTGCAGCTGGCAGGAGGCATCTGCCCTCACAATGGAACAAAATTGTGAGGTTCATGAGGTTCTGATTCCTCATTGCAGCCACCCAAGTGCAAACTCATGTAAACACATTTATAAGATGTTTTTTGAAAGTGTGCTTATCAAAAGCTCAGATGCAGGTGATTGCCTCTGCTTTGATGCAGAAATTGCTAGTGCTCAGAGTAATTGTAACAAAGAAGTACCCGTGTAACAGCTAGACATTTTTTCTATCCCTAATATTCCTTGTTAAATTATGGTTAAAAATTGAATGAAAATACATATAAAGAAGCAATGATTTAAACCCTTTGAAAGGTACCCACCTATATGTTACCATTTTGCAGGTGATTTTACCTGTTTGAGCATTTCTGAATAAACTGTTGCCTGACTTTTGGGAGGATTTAAGCTCCAGTTTATTATTTTTGTAAGGCTGAGCACTGCTGGTTAAGCTCATTGCATACTTGCTGGGTGGGAACAGGGTGTATTTTTAAATTATTTCAGGAAAAAGGGTAAAATTTCAGTTTACAATGCTGGTTTTAATTTGTCATGGGAGTGGGGATGTGTTTCCTTGCTGCATATAAATGAAGTGATTGAAGTGAAATGAAATGAATGATTATAGATCAGACCTTTGGTTCATTAGGAGGTAAACAAGTGACTTGAAAATTGGGTGTAAATGACAAGTAGATAATAGTTATTTTCATATTTCAGGTAAACTATTGCAATTACTTAGTATGGCTTGTTGGGTTTATTTCACTTTAGCTTGACAGAACACTTAATAAAGACCATACCTTTCCTCACAGTTTGGAATACCCTCTGCTTGGAGTTCATGAGATGTTCTCCTTGCTCTCTCTTCTTCTTGATTTCTAACAGTAAGACTGAAAAGTAGCAAACAAAGTTTTAGTCAACTTTATAGAGAAAAATGCTGGACTTACACCAGACACTTTTTCTTCTATACTAAAAATAAAAATTCTAAAAGGACAGAAGCTAATGATAGGCACATTACCCACAGTTACATTCTGACCTTATTTTTACAATTGTATAAACCTTGAGTGTAGCTGAAAGCTGTTTAGTATTCTGTAATGCAGATTTTCTACAGAAGGAACATAGTTCCATAAAATATCTCAAGTTGAAGGGACCCATAAGGATTGTCAGGTCCAATTTTATAGATATATATATACACACACACAAGTGTGTATGGGATGCATGATGCATACCCTTTGTCACATACCAAATCTATTCTCTGTTTTTGTAGTGTGTATGCTCAGTGCAATGCTTTTACTTAAGCTGGACCTTAAGTAAAAGGTTTTAAGCGCTGCTTTTATGTGAGTTAGGTTTCAAGGTAGGTGCGTTTGGATTTGTTTGTTAGCATTTTTTTTCTCCTCAGTTGTGATGAGGGCCAACACTCTGGTTTGGAATGGTGATACCATGAAAGGAAAGCCAGAGTTCAGAAGCAGGACACAAGATTTAAGTGAACTTAAGACTTCTCTATGTGGTTTTGGAAGGGTAAGCGCTTTCAGAGTTCAGATGTAGATACAGCCAGATTGTGTGGTGATTGATTGCATCTTAGCAAATTGCTAATACATGTGTCAAAATGTGAGATCTGGAGCACAAAGAGCAGATCTATCATTGCTGAATATAATTTTGAGTATGTCTGAATGGAAACACTTGTTTGTAGCATTACAAAAACAAAGTTTGATGCAGTCACTAGTGATCGCTGACAGTTTTTGATGGCCTGTAGCTGTGAACTCCTGCTTCTTTCATCAAATGTTAGTTAAGATAGCTCTAGTTCTTAAAAATTTCTTTTGTAGTTGTAGATGATTAATCTTCATTTGAAACTGGATTTGAAAATGGAATTTTTTTTTTTTGGAAGTGGGGACTACATTCAGTTTATCCAAGCTATGGTAGCTTAGTGAGAAATGCATATGCATACACACATGCTATCATATAATCTGTAAAGCTGCTTAAAATATGTCAGGAAGAAAAGGTCCCAGTGTTTTTTATATTTTGTATTGGCTGTTATTTATATGAAACAGGTCCTCCAGCTGAAACAAGGCAACACAGTTGCTATAACTTCTAGGGAAATACCAAGCTTAATTTCTTCCTTTGTATCTTACCTTTCTTTCATGCTAATGTTCTGAGTTTTGCTGCCTTAATCTCTAAGAATCTCATTTATCTCTAGGAAGGTTTTTGGTTAAACCAGTGGATTTTTCTGCCTGTTTTGCATTCTAAACTCTTGGCCAACTCTTATTTGCAGCCTTATTGTTTACTGGGCATCTCCTTCTGTCTTTGTCTACCATTAGTCCATAATCTGCAGAGACCTACTTTTCTCTTTGCCACAGCAGTGCATGTGTGGAAGATACAGGAAAGCTTTTGTATTGCTGAGATGGAGAGCAGATAGTGCAAACACTTTTTTTCAGCAATATCTGAACCATATGTTCAAACCAATGAACTATGTCAACTTACCTTTAAAGAAAAAAAAAAGAGAAAAATGTAAGTAGTAATGCTAGTTCTTTTTTCTGTTAGGTTATATGGGTCTCAAGCCTTTACTACCCTTTTTACCAGTGGTTCTGGCATTTTTTGAATATGTAAAGTGATATGTATTCTCACACACAGACAGGCAGTGATACTCTTATCAGAACTATTTTTGGATTGAGGGGACCCAACAGATCCAATAGAAAGGAATACAGTCTTATGGGATAATGCACAGAAAAGGAAAAAGACCAAAGAAATAACAAAAGCCTCCCTAAGAGAACATGCCGTGCTTCAGAAAATTGCTTACAGGCAGGCTCTTTCCCTAGAAATGTACAAGTAAACAATAAAGAGAGTAGTGCAGTACTGTACCCTCTCGGGATCTGGAAGAGTAACAGGCTGGAGCTTGGGTTTGACTGCAGGAATGAACACAGGCTTTGAGCATCCAGCTGAGAGACTCATTTCAGTTCATTCTAAATCTACTATTAAGAATATGCTGAATATTGGATGTTCAGCAGCTCAGCAGCATGACTCATGGAGACTGTTATTTTTATTCCTATTCATAATCTTTCTGTTCCAAGAGCTTAGGCTATTTTGAGGAAATGGTCTATGAATGGGGAACATAAATAGCTTAATTACGGTTTGTTTTGCATTTCTTGCTACTAGAAAACAATTGTTTCAAAAAAAATCAGAAATTATTTTAAAGCTGAAACAAGCTACTCTGTTTCTGAGCCTGTATTGGTTGCCCAGATGATTCTGAAATGCTAATAGGAATTATAAGCATCATGAAATCTGGGTACTTTCACAAACCCTATTGAGTAAATAGCTTTCTTTGAATTGTTTGAATAGTGAGATACACAGAAAATGAGCATCCTGGAAAATATCAGGTAAAATCACAAAAACAAAAGTACTTTATCAACAATTTAAAAGGTAAAATGCAAATTTTATATACTATGACGTAGTAGATAAATGTGTCTTATTTTTTCCTTTAACTGAAAACCATTTTTGTGTAATGCAGCTCTGGACTCAGCTACTTGCAATTGCACTGGACAACTGTTGAAATGGCATTGGAATTTGTGTGGGATGATTTAACATAGATGCAATAGGACACAAACTGATCCTGTCCAGGCAGAGTGTTAATGTCTCTCTAAATTCTATCTTGGTTTACCTTTAAGCACCTGCTGAAAAGCTTGGTAGGATCAGAGCCTGAGTTCTTGGCATCTCACAAAAAACCCCAAACCTCCAAGCAGCCTTTTGTCCTTGCAAAATATTCACTATTTGCATTAGGGAGGGCAGAATCCTGTGTGCCTTGGCTTCTGATGAGCTGAGTACCAATAGCAAGGAAATTATCAGTCTGTTCTTCCCTTGCCTTCTAATGGTGTTCTCCAAAGCATTTGCCACAAGATGCTATTGGAAAACAACATTAGTGGAATAGATTCCTAGCCCAGGCTGTAAGGTTATTTGTGACCACTTTCCATCACCTCAGTGTCAGGTTTGCTTGCTCTGAAGTGTTTATGTGGTGGATAGTGAATCTCTGAGAAGGATTCCCTTGCTGTCAGAATTTTGGCTAAACTCTATGGCTGTTTAAGACTTTTTGTTTATTTGAATGCAAGTTCTACTCTTACCCATGAGGTAACACTTTGCCCTAATCAGATACAGGGGTTTTGAGTATGGGAAGATTTACTTCAATTTAGAATGAAATCACTTGGATCTGAAGGGGCTGGTAAGAAAGTGAAGGTGAACACATTGTTAATTTAGGAATCAAGTGATTCCTCCTCTTTTGCTTTGATTGATAAATTCTCTTCCTTAACAGGAGTGGGACTTTTGTAGTGGGGGTTTTTCTGAATTTTTTTCTGCTTAACTTCTCAACTTCAGCAAATACCCACAGTGTTTAAAGTTTCTGGTCCCAATGATTATCTTCATATGAGTTTCAGGTGCCATGAGTTGGCAATACTAATTAATGACAACAGAACCAGTTGCCTTCAGGGGAAAAGAAGTGTGCTGGGCACCTGCTTATTCATTTTCTGACCTAAAAATTCTTCCACCTTCCCTACCTCCATTTAACACCTTTGGTGCTGATCACCAAGGCCCAAATCTAAAAATAAAGCTCTGACATATTCTGGTATTGCTTTCAGTTTTTAGTGGGAGCACTTGGTGAAGCTCAGTGCTGAGGTTAGCACAAAACAAACATTGCATAATATTGAAAAAAAAAGAGCAATAGAGATACTGTACAGATATTTCTTTTAAAATCTGTTATTTCAATGGCAGGGGAAAGAAGGAGTATGCTGGAGTAGAGGGTTGTGTCTGGTGGTAGAACACAGCAATCTCATTGTGTCCCAGATCTGCAGAATTATACAATCTTTTTTCTTTGGCTTATGTTGTTCTGTGCAGGAGCCATGTGTCCCTTCCCTGCTATTGTGTTCCCCAGAGGTTTGAATGAGAGAGGTTACCATGAGCAGCTGCAGCAGCAGCACCAGCAAAAGCAGCAGGCATTGGAGCCTCGGTTCCCTGTGCTGAGCTGGGCCTGTGCAGCGCCGGGGCTCTCCGGGGTCGCCGCCATCTGCCGTTTGCGGATCTCCGTCCTCTCCGATCCCATGGGCTGCCAGCAACAAACAAAGGGGGGGAGTAAGAAACATCTCTCTCTGTTTTCCTTTTTTGTTTGCTTTAAAAATCCTACCCAGAAGTGCTGAAGGCCACAGCCTCAAGGGAACTAAAAAGCTAAGTCACTGATTTTCCCCCGTGGAAGTTTTAGGGTGTTGAATCCTTTGGAAGATTCACTCATTTAAGTGCTGTGATGGAAGGCAAAGGGCTAATGAATTCTTCAAGTGCCTGGGAATGCAATGACAGCAAAAGGTACAAGTGAGGGGTCTTGGAGAGCTAGAGCTCTTGGCACAGAGATGTATCAGCCCAGGAGTTGAAAGGGTTTGCTGAGGTTTTGACTTCAAGGCCATCCTAAGGATAGTGGTACAGAATAGAAGTAGTTAGGGCCTCTCTTTCTTTTTTCTTTCTTTTTTTCCCCTTATTAGCCAACTCACAGGCTTCACGATGCTTGAGTGAGACACCTGAGCTCTCCTGAAAATCTGGCCTTTGATGAATACTGAAGATGTCTTAAACCTGCTGCCTCCCTTTGTAGCAAAGGGGGAAGGGCCCATACTCATTTCTCCATTGAAGGTCTGACAGCCACAGTTTGTAAAAACGTTTGTCTCTGTGCTTCTGTGAAGGTGAGGAGGAAACACAAAACTAGATGTTAATAATTACATGGTTTTCACTGAGCCCCCCAACTGAAGACAGCATGAAACAGTTTTTGGTGGATGCACTGGTTGGTTTTTTGCACAGTTGTAGGAAGCCTTTTTGGAGACTGCATTTTGCAGAGTGTGCAGATAAGTGTAGTTGATGAAATGACAAGTTCCCTTAAAGTCCCTGTTCGTTTCTGACCTATCTCTGAGCTTCACATTTGCTCTACAGCACCTAATAGTGCTCTCTCTGTTATGCTGAAAGTTGTGCCATATGTAAGTGACAGATGTCTTTGAGAGATGAAATACTAGCTTGTACTAAGATTAGCATGGCTTTCTTAATCTTATTTGTATTTGATTTTTGGATGCATAGCTAGTCATCCTCCTGTGTCACGAGATCCCTTTGTGTGTAGGTTTGTTTCAGGTTGCTAAACCTTCTTTTGAGGCATGACAATTGTAGGGGAATTAAAATTAACTGCTACCAATTTTGAATTCTTTTTTTAGTCTATAATATCAGACTTGAATCTAATAAGGTAAATACTTGGGGGTTAAAAGCTTTTCTTTCTAAAATGTTCATCCAGGTTTAGGAAATGCTGCTGTTTTAACTTGAGGGGGAATGTACAGATGGTGTCATGGACCCAACAGAAGTGTCAGGAGAAGAAAGAATGTTTTTTTAGCAGAGTGCAGCATTACATTTTGCTGCACTTTGGCTACTGTGGTTTTTTCAATGTTGAATTTATTTCTGTCTTGCAGAGATTAATAATTTTCGTATTTGTGAGAACCGCCCACTCTCCCAAGAGACAAATGCACGACACAGTAGCAGAAGATGCACCTGTGTAGCAGGAGGAATAAAATACAAGAACAACAATATAGACAGAAACTACAACCCATTTTAAAACTCTGGAGGCCTGATCTGACAAGCAATGCCTAAACGACCAGAAAGAGAAAATCAGAAAAAATAACATAGCTTCCAACTGCCCCTCCCCAACTTTCCTTGTTTCAAAATGTGAAAGGATAACTGAAATGTAGAATGTATTTGTAGATTCAGATTTCTTCCTGTCAGATTCAGATTCACATGAATGGAATGAATAAGTATTAATTTCCTTACGGATACCTGTACTTTTCTAAATGGAGCATTTTCACATTTCAATTGGAGAGTGATAGCATATAAAACATTTTTTTAAGGATCATATATCTAACAATATTTCAGGCTGCTTTGGACAGTAAACTATTATTATTGATTAGAAAAATGTCACTTGGATTCAGCACACAGACATGTGCTGTTTAGATAGCCTAATACATCCACTCTTACTTCTGAGATAATTTATGTTCACACATTCATATCTCTAATTCATATTAATAATGAGTTGGCCTGGGCTAAATATGATCCAGGGCCCATATTACAGGATGGCAAGGTAGAGAGCTGAGCAGTGGTGCAGGTTGTTACAGAGTTGTAGAAACTCCTTTGGTGCACTTAGTATTAAGTCCCACAGGACAGAACTGTGTCAGGCTGGTCACACGGAACAAGCAATAAGTGATCTCTCTCAGCACTGTTTATCTAACGTCAAAAGAGCCGCATTTTATGTATGTAGATATCTTTCTGCTGCTTCTAATATATCCAGAATTTCACTGTAGGACATGGAAACTTTCCACCACACTTTGCTGCTTCTTGCTGCAACCACCAGAGCTGCTTGCCAGGCAGTTGCTGGTTTGAGTTGTGCTGTGTGCAGGAATGGATAATAGGTTTATCAATTAATCCAGTGAATATTATTTGTAGGAATTAACAAAATTCATTGCTCCTTTAGAGTACAGCCCACATTAGCAACAATTTAAGCAATTGCTTTATTGATTTGTGGATCTGTGGGAGTTGAAGTGGTTATTATTTTGCCTTCAGTAGACTTCAGGCTCCTTTGGGGCAAAAAGGAGAGGATATTTTTAGACCTCATAGTGAAAAGGTCTTCTATTCATGTAATTTTACAGTTGTTACTTTGGGATATCAGATTTCCAGACCACTCTGAAGGTGCTATGGGAATGAAAAAATGGTATGAGAACCCTCTGTACTGGGTGTTCTCTGCACTTTGAGACTGGAGTCTGCCTTCTCTGTCCCCACCATCTGGAGCAGCAAAGTGCCTTGTTTGAAAATGGGTTAGACAAGAAAACACAGAGCATTAGAAAACTGGAGATGGACTGCTATCCTGTACATGTTTCCTGAGGAATCCAAAAATGCTTTTAGGCTGCTGATGGAATGATGTAAGACACCTTTAACCAAAGGGCTTCAACCCTACCATCTCATGCTCTGTTTATACTCAGAGTGGGTATGGTTTCAGCCAATTGCTGAGCATAACACAAATAGTCAGTAGGGTCTAATTTTGCTAATATTGACTCACTGTGAGGAATCGGATCCTTGAATGGGACGGTCAGTGTCAGTGTCTAGATGGCATGAGGGGGTTCTGTTGCACAGGTCCTCATAGTGGTGGTGTTGGCCGGGTCACATGAGGCTCTGGGACCTGCATTACTGCTCAGATCCTACACATTGCTGTCTCATGTGCTTTGGGACCACTCCAGCACATGCATAATCCATCCCTGGTAATTGTCTGGAGCTACAAAGCATCTTCTACCTCCCTAAACTGTGTGCATGAGTCTATCCTGCATGATCATTTTTGCATCTGCAGGAAGTTTCTTCTGACTATGGACAAGTAACTGGTCACTTACAAGCCTCCTCTGACTACCTGCAGTCTGTGCAGAATTGAGTTGATTTTGTAGCTTTGGAGTTTCTGGATCTCCTCCGCCCTGGATTTTAATCAGCACACTGGAACATAAAGAAACTTTTCCAGGCAGTGGATCCTGCCTGGAATAATCCACAGAACCATCTAAATTCCACATGGAGAGTGCCAATTACTCAAATACTTAAATGAGAACAGGGAGTAGGAGTAGAAGTGTGTCAGAGGTGATCAGCTTGTCTCCAGCTGGTTCATTGTTTCAAGCCAATGTAATGTAGCATCTCTGCAGATGCCTAGGTGCGGAGTTTCTGATCTCCCAAGGAAAGAGATGTCCTTCTCTATGTAATGATAACAACAAATTGAGTCCATTATGAAATTGTCCCTGAAGAGCAATGAAACAAAAATAGAGGAAAATTAATGGCACATGTTCTTGCTTCTTGTCCTGCTAGATAGCATCTATGAATCATATAAAAGATATATGTGCTCATATTATTGAATGCTAATAAGTAATTTAAAAAAAGAAGTCCAAGGATTTAGGCAAGCATCAGTGATGCTACTTTTGACAATAGTGGCAAAACCACTGTGTGCCTTAAGAGTAATGCTGAGGTGATGAGATAAGAATGTCTGTCATAACTTTTGCATAATTCCAAAGCATACCTATCTGACATTCAGATTATGAAGCATTTCTCCATGTAACCTTATAAACACAAAGGAATGTAAAGGTCAGGAGTGAAAATTATTTCCCTGATTAAAAACACCTCAGGTGATATTTGGCTTAGTTGTAACATTTATAGTATTTGCTAATTTCTCAGCAGAAGGGTGGGCTACCAAGAAAATAGCATTCCCAAAGGAGGTATATTTAAAATCTAAGACACAAATGTTAATTTAAAAACCAAAACAAAACCTCAACCAAAAAAAAAAAAAAAAAAAAAGCCCCAAACCCAGGAATCCGCAGAAGATTGTAGACAAAACTTTATACTTTTATCCCCACTTTACCACTTTATGCTAAAACACAATGACATTTTTTCAGCTCAGAGTGCAAAGATTCTATTACTTAAACTTAATTACTGAGACCTAATGTTCCCTCCTTGTGTGCATCACCATCAGGCAGGTGTGCAAGCCTTTAGCTTGTTCTTGGGGCTGATTTGCATGGCCACAGCATGAAGCTTCCCCAGTAACTGCACAGCCTGGGAAGCCCTGTGCTGGAACACTAGCTGACAGCTACTTGGAGTGAGGGCACAGATGTGGATCATATAGCCCAGTTACTTTTCAGTAAATGCTCAGGCCTGGTCCAAACTCCACTGAAGCAATGAAAGGCACCTCTTGGTGTCAGCAAGCTTTGTGTTACATAGCTCTCACAGTTGCTGCTTTGACTTTGGATCCTCCCAGTGATGATAACTAGTGAGTTGGAAGAGATTCTGTTCTTATCTACTAATGTCATAAGAGGCTTGCAACTGGGGTCAAGTTCCAAATAAATCTCTAAATCTATTTTTTAACAATTCAGATATATTTGGGGCTGCAACAAACTCCCACTGAAGCCTGTGGCAATTCACTGTCAGCTGAAATACGAACAGGAAACTTGATGCTCGTGCTTCTTCCTTTTCATTGACAAATGTGACAAGCAGGCTTTCTGCATTAAGCAGTGT